CTGTCACAGGTTATACCCTCTCCCAGAGTGACTTATGGTCAATGACAGGCCAATGGGAGGATATAAAGCTCAGCCCCTCCCCTCAATTTGGGAAATTCTGAAAATCCATCCGGCTCCAGCACTCCCCTACAGGATCTGCTGACGCTTCTGTTTCCACTACAAAGCAGGTTAGTTTCTCCCTCTGCTCAATTCTACCATCCTCACTTCCCCACAGGGGTATCCCCTGATGAGGGCTGTCAGATAAAATACAGTATGCCCTATGCAATAGCTGGGACATGCTTATACTAAAAAATCAATTGTTAATTTATCTGAAATTCAAATTGAACGGGGCATCCTGTATTTTTATTTTCTAAATCTGGCAAATCTACTCTTGAGACTACTTCCTGATAAAGCTTCTGCACACAACTTTCCATCATAAGCCTGTTTCCAGGGAACCCAATCTAAGGCAGGGAGGGTGAAATAAGGTCACAGAAAATGAATGAGGCACAATTTTTGCTTTCAAAGTCTGCTGTGGAATGTTTTACTAGTGTGATGCTATTCAAAACTTATTGAGAGTAGGTGTCTAAAAATTTAATTCTTCCTTCCCTTGCATTCTTATCTTCATGCCTTATAATACTCAGGGCAAACGAACTCCCAATCTGCAGACAAACAGGAACCAGAGATACTGGTTATTTCTAAATAATGAAGCAAGATTCAATGACACAATTATTATCAGAAACCTCATTGCATTTTTCCTTGTACGATATTCTCTTAGTCATGTTGCTCTATCATACTTTATTATACCTTCTCTATAGTTTCCAAAATTACACAAAGTCATTAAACAGATGTCTGTGAGACCCCTACAGATAAATTCGGTTGGAGTCATCATCACTCTCTTTAGAGATATCAGATGCAGGTAACTTTTATTTTATTTGTGTATTTTTAGAGAAAAATCAAGAAACTTACAGGAATATGTAATCAAACATTTTCTTTCATGGATTCCAAATAGAGATTAAAAGAATCTTGTGGTAAAGTATTTTTTATAGACTCAACATGTATACAATACTCTAATGAATGTAAATAGTAAAAATAACTTTAATTCTAGATTCCGAAACAAAATTTTGCCAAGTTTCATTCCACAGACCACTGACCTCATTTAACTACCATTCTTGAAAGTAGCTTCTTACATGGCATTTCACACAATATAAACTCTTACAGTGAGATACCATGTATTATTTTTATGTGCTAGATTCACATAGGCACTCAATAAATGATAGCTTGAGTAGCAGCAGTCGTTTATTAGAACAAACATACATGCTTGCAATATTGGATAGTACTATATGTTTAAAATACTGATTAAAATTGTGGGAACAAACGTTCAGATTGAAAGAAATTATGGTAACATGAGCTAGGCATATGTAGACTTTAAATTCATATTTTATTCTATTTTAACAGTTAAATGTTTTCTTACCTGCTTTTATGTTTTCCAGGTATATCTGTATATATTTATTCACCATTTGAATGTTCTTAATGACTTCATTCCATACCCACCATTTGCTGTGAAATCCATCAATCACATACCAGTTCTGATGTTGTTCTTGATAGTATTGCCTAATCTCATCAATATTTTTGTGGTAATGTGAGTTCTTGACAGCTGTAATCTGTGTGCTATTGTGTAATGGATAAGGCAAGCTAATAGAGAAACAGAAAGGGAATTGGAAAAGCTGTTGAAGACATACTTTCTTCTGGATGACTAAAGCTCATTCTTTTATCGTTGTTTTCATCACATCCATTACCTTTGTTCCTTTTTTTTTCTTTCCAGGAGCAGTCTTTTGAAAATCTCCTTGGAAGGTACATCCAACTCAAAGATGACCATGGGGATGATTGACCTGGCTTCCAAGAGACTCGTTTGATGTTTAGTTACAGGGTATCCATCGATGATAACACTAACAAGGAGAAACGTGAAAATAAGAAGTCCAGATTTCTTTTCCCCCATACCTTCCTTTCTGTCTTCCAGAACTAGTCTTTCTTTTGGTGTAGCCCCATGCTCTTCCTTATATAACTTGATTTATTTTCTTGGCATTTTGTCTTCTGTATCTCTCTCTCTATATTTTTCATCTCAGTCAGCCCAAGACCCAGGACGAGGGCAGCAAACATACAGACACAGCTCTGAATTCATACACTTAGCATCACAGAGCTAGGTTTTGGCAAGATTCAAGAGATAGATAATACCTTGAATATTGCGTTATTCAACCAAGGAGGCTAGGCTGTGGAAGGGGAGATGGGGAGTTGGTGAGAGGAGCCCCGTAATATCTGGGAGAGAATCATTCCATTAGGACGCCTCACGCCTCTGAGCAGAAATGATGGAGAATTTAAGTTAGTTCAACAGTCTGAGATAATCAGACTGGGAGGAGGAATAAAGACTGTCTACAAATTCTGGGAAGAGTGGCCCTCAAATTCAGGAAACTCACTCTGAGGTGGGAGCGAGCTGGGCATACTGGCTGCTGGTCATCGAGAAAGGCTAGTTTGGAGTAAGTCACAGGATGTCCCCCTCCGTGCCCTCCAGCCAAGTGTTGAGGCGCTAACTAGCTCTAAGTTCCATGGCCCAGAGGACTGGAAGTTAACATAGCCAGGCCAGCCGAATCAAGAATGTATGCAGGTGGCATTGTTGTTGGTTTTTAATTTTTTTTTGAATGGAGAGTAGCTCAGCTTCTTTGTACTTGAGGGGCCCTCAGGATTAGGGAAATTCAGGGTGAATGGGCAGTCACTGTCCTGATATGAAAGTGAAATGAAACCTTTAGGATGAAACCAAGATTGCTCTTACTGAAATTTCTTGCATGCAAAGCTGAACGCCAGGGAGGAAGTAACTCAATTTGCACAAGTCCCAGGGCCTTCTCTGGGGAAAAAGATAATTTGGTACCCCAGAATCTGCTCCCCCATAACTGAAATTAGAACTGTCCAAGGACTTGATTAGGGACCAGTGGCAGCGAAGGGCAAGGAGGCTCCTAATATCAAACAATTTGAGTAAATCAGGGGATTCTAGGTCTGTAAACTGGGCTCAGGAGCAGAGCCTTAGGTTTCACTGGCTTTTACTACTAGGTGTGACCAGTAGATGTGCCAGGGTGAGCTGAGGAGTGTACCTGAAGAGATAGCCCAAGTACAGAGCTCTCCTTAAAGATGTGGCTTTAAAGGGAGGGTGAGCTGGGCCAGTGAGAGAACATCTCAATTGGACCAGTACCATCTGGGGGACAGGGAAGGGCCATTCCTTCATCACTCCACGGGGCAGTGAGAAGCTCTACTGGTCTGTGGAGGTCACACAGGCCTCCTTGGTGGACTGTGTAAGCCTGGAGACTTTTTGACATCTCAGGGGTTGCTGCAGGGAGCGAAGTCGCCTGCTTGCTATTCTGCCATGTGAGTGTTTCAGTCAAGTGTTAGCTTGACAGAAAATTAAAGTATGAGTATGTAACCATAAAGGTACCCAAAGTTTGAGAAGCAGATCACACCCTTCCCCAGAGCTGTAAACCCTATTTAAGGTAAGTGTTTTCAGTTCCAGTGAGTGGTTTCTTGGAAGAGTTAACCCTCCTCCTTCCCCCACTTACCCTGCAGTATTACATATACTTTCCATCAGAGATATTTCTAAGGCCTCAATTGCCAGTTCATCCGGTGCTGTCATTCCTTTGTGAAGATGCCAGTTTAACATAAGTGCCAGCTCTGTGTCTGGTTGGTTGTTTAATACATAACGCAAGGCTTCTCCTACAGACAAACGCTTCAAGCCATATTCNAGCTTTCTAACATGTACTGAGTAATTTTCTTTAACAGAAACTGACTTTTCTACTGAAAATGTTAAAAAGGAAAATGAACAATAGATTAAGTAAAACAAATTACCTTAATATTCTAAATGGAATTCTAAGTGGAATAACCATTTTGTTAATGCATGAAAGTTTAGGCCAAGATCAAGCAACATTAAAATTATATTAAAACATGCTTACAGAAGAGCACTCCTTCCTGGATGGCAGATATTTGAGTCTATTTGAGGTCTGGCTCATGGTACATCATTCAGGATGGAAAAGTACATTAGAGAGGGCCAGAGTTTCAATCTATTTCCTTGTATGATTTTCAAATAACTCTTGAGATTCTGGTTGCAGTTACCCAAGCAAACTATTCATTAATTGGGTCTATATTTTTAAGAGAGAGAAATGCCTGTAATTTATGATCAAAGTCAATGGCTCTAAACTGAGGTTCCTTATATTTTCTGGTCATCTTGGAACTCAGGTATGTAATGAGTTCACATCTCTCCACAAACTGCTCCATTTTCTTCTTAAACTTTTTTCTTGTATATTCAGAACCTTTGGGATTAAAAGCTGTAGAAAATTTCACAGGATTGTGAATGTTTTCTGTTAGGTTAATGAATCATTAAATTATAGAGAAAGAGAACGGTGTGTGTGATTGAGCTGAGAAGATATCCAAATCCCAAATAAAGTTTGGGGATTATTCTATTTGAAATATAATTGCTTTTCATCTTCCTCTATGGCATAGATTATTGAGAGCTGACTATATTATTCAGAGTCCTTGCTTAAAAAACTAGATATTCAGTTTAGATATTTTCATTAAAATATTCACACACACACACACACACACACACACCCACACACCCACACACCCAATTCAAAAGACCAACCCAGCTCAACAATCCTGTCTATTACATACAAGATATGACAATTACGTTTGCAAACCTGTTGCAACAATGTTGCTAATCTTTTTTTTGATATCAGAGAGATTATTCATTATGAATTTGTACCAACAGGACAAACAGTTAACCGAGTTTACTATTTGGAAGTGCTGACAAGGCTGCGTGAAAAAGTTAGATGACCTGAAATTTTCACCAACAATTCATGGCTCTTGCATCACAACAATGCACCAGCTCACACGGCACTGTCTTTGAGGGAGGTTTTAGGCAGTAAACAAATAACTGTATTGGAACAGCCTCCCTACTCATCTGATCTGGCCCCCAATGACTTCTTTCTTTACCCAAAGATAAAGAAAATATTGAAAGAGAGACATTTTGATGACATTCAGGACATCAAGGGTAATATGATGATAGCTCTGATGGCCATTCCAGAAAGAGAGTTCCAAAATTGCTTTGAAGGGTGGACTAGGTGCTGGCGTCGGTGCATAGCTTCCCAAGGGGAGTGCCTCGAAAGTCACCATGGTAATATTCAGCAATGAGGTATGTGGTACTTTTTCTAGGATGAGTTCACAAACTTAATTGACAGACCTCGTATACTACAATTAATATTAAATTATTTCTGAGTAGTATACCATTAAAAAGACATACCTTTTAGATGAAATGCAATATAGAGTAGCGCAGATCTCTTTATACTTAAGAAGGGAAATTTGGGCTTTAAGCATCCTGCTGCATTCATTGCTTTAATTAGAGAAGTTGCGATACCCTGCAGGTAGGGAACAATTTAAATCGTGTATATTTGAGTTTGGTTTCTATTCTTGGCAAATAGATAAAGAGGCTATTCTTTGCCTCAAATAGCCTCCTGAGGTTGGGAATGGGGCTTATAAAGATGGTTAGATGACCACTAAGCCAATAGAAAAGACAAAATACAGAAAAATGAAAATTACAAATGGGCTTAGTGCCAGCTAGGTAATGGGTAGATGGGTTTCACTACACCATTCTATTTTCATACATTTGACATGTCACAAAAACTTAAAAAGAAAGAAGGGGACACTGGGCTCTGTGTTGTCTTGGCCCATCTCTGCTTCTATTGCTCAGAGCTGGACAGATTGGCTCCCACTATCAGGACCCTTGGCCACCTGACAAGGACTTCTCGACACCACAGTTATCACTGCAGTCAAGATTCTGGAGTCTCGAGGGGGCAAAGTAGGTGTGAGGCCCCCCTGATAAGCTTGGCCTTTCTGGGACGCCCCGCTCTGGGAGACCCTCATCTTGCCTTTTGATATGATACCAGATTGAAGGCCAAACGTCTAGAGAGTTGAAAAAACAAAGTCATTAAGAATTTGTAAGAAAGGTCTGAAATTGTACCGTGGGCATTTATTTTACAGAATTAAAAAGAGTGGTTGGCTACTGAAAAATTTTACTGTGTTTAAAAAGATTTATATTTAGACAAGATAAAATATGACTTGAGTAGATAGCTTTATCTGGATTTTGAGCAAAATGTGGGTTTGGTGGTTTAGTCGTAGTGACACTGTAACTCAGCTCTTTTGAGCAGGGAATAAACCACTCAGAGACTGAATCTGTATATTTCAAATTAAGAAACAATTTACAGACACTGAAATTCAAAATACAAACCAAACTACAAGTCAACTGTAAATAATTTTATGACAATCTACTCTCTCTTCACTTTAGTGCAGGTTTTGGGAAGTAGCTACAGAAACAGGGGCTTTTCACACATCTTATTTTCACAACCACCCATAAACAAAATAGGTTAAAAATGGATTTGCAGCTTAAAACAGAAAACTCCGCCTTGAATTTCATCGTAACCAAAATAAAATTATTGTTAAAGAAGAGATCAATGGGGGCAGCCGGTTAGCTCAGTTGGGCAGAGTGCAGTGCTCATAACATCAAGGTTGCTGGTTCGATCCCCACATGGGCCACTGAGTTGCACCCTCCACAACTAGATTGAAATAACTACTTGGCTGGGAGCTGATGGGTCCTGGAAAAACACACTGTTCCCCAATAAAATTTAAAAAAANAGAAGGAACAAAAAAAAAAGAATTGGAGATGTTGAAAAGTTAGGCAGGGCTACATCATTTAAGGTCTTTTATGCTGTATTATAATTCTCTAGAAAAACAGAACCAATAGGAGATCTAAAGAGATTTAGATTTATTATAAGAAATTGGCATACATGATTATGGGGGCTGGGGAATCTGAAATCTGCAGCATAGGCCAACAGGCTTAAGACCCAGAAGAGCTGATGGTGCAGATGAAGTCTGAGGACATGCTGCTGGAGAATTCCCTCTTGTTCACAGAGGCCTGCCTTTTTGTTCTATTCAGGTCTTCAACTGATTATATAAGGCCCACCCACATTATGGAGGGCAATCTGCTCATTCAAAGTTCACCAGTTTACATTTTAATCTCATCCAAAATACCCTCCTAGTGGACATATAAAAATTAATGATATATATGCCAAGAGTAAGGAGTTTGGATTTTATTTTAACTGAAATAGAAAGCCACTGGAAGACCTTAACAAGGGACTGATGAAATCTGATTTATGTATTTAAAGATGACTCCAGGTGCTAGATGAAAAGTAGATCTTAGAGAGACATGAATAGAGGCATAAAGGTTAGGTGAGAGCAGTGCAAAACACAAGAAGAGCCCAGAGTTATGATTTATTTTGGCAGTAACGCTCTTTGACAGGACTTGTAGAGAGAGTAGATGTGGGGAGCGAGGAAAAAAATGATCTCTAGGTTTGGGGCCAAATCAACTGAGTGTGTGATATTACCATTAACTGATCTGGGGGGAAACTGGAAGAAGAGAGTTTGGGTGTATAACAAGTGTGGGATGGACATATTACATTTGAGATGTCAGCTAGATAACCAAGTAAGTATACCCAGTAGGCAGTTAGAAGTAAGGTCCTGGAGTTCAGAGGTGAAAACAGAATTTGAGATATCAATATTGGATTTAGCAGAGTACAGATTATAAATTATTATAAATAAGATCACTTACAGAGTGAATATTGATAGATAAGAGAGCTATCTAGATTTTCCTCTTTTCCCTCCAAATCCAATCTCCACCTTTCTCCCCATCTTTGGCTCTGAGAGGCTGCAAGGACTTCTTCATCAGAGCCCAGTACCTACTGGCTTTTGGATGCTTTGGGTCAATGGAGAACCTGGTAGGTGTTTGAAGGAAGGAGAGGGTCATGATCAGCTGGCAATTAGAAGTTGATAGAAGTCCTTTGTCATTATGAAGGGCATCAAAAACATCCCTGCAAGGTGTGATGGTTGATGGATAACTGTAGCTGGAAGAAACTATAGTCCAAGGTTCACTATGACTTAAAGGGATTTGAGGGGAACAGGAGGGTAATTGACAATGTTCAATACCAATAGGGCATCTTTATAGGGATTTTGTAGTACAAATTCAGTAATGCTCCAGTTTCTAGACCCCATATGTCTTGATTTTATTATGAAGTATATCNCTATAGAGGGCAGCGTCACTGGCCCTCATATGTGGGATCTGAACCGGGGCCCTCTGGCGTCCCAAGCCAGCTCTTAACCAATGCGCCACTCGGCCAACCCCCCTTTTCCTTATATTTTGACATTTTTTTTTTTATCCTGAGATTTGATTTTCCAAGGATCATTGGAAGTATGGTGGGATGAGTCCACAAGCTGGGGACATCTTAGTTCCAGATGAACTTGACCTCTCTGGCTCTACATAGTGGCTCTTCCAACTTGGTTGTTTAATTAAAAAAAAAATTAAACTACATAAATTTAAAAAAAAATTCAATTTTGTTATTAAGATCAAATTATACAGCATTATATAGCGTGAAAAACCTCTCTTCACACTCCCATCTGTGTTTCTAGTCTCCTATCTGAAAATGATTTGGGTTAACAATTTGATTAGGATCCTTTTAGGTGTTTACACACACATGCGCATGCACACACACACACACACACACACACACACACACACACACTTTTATTTTAAATACAGAGGGTGCCAAAAAAATGTATATACATTTTAAGAAAGGAAAAGTCTATTAAAATTGTAATAATAAACAAAAGAGGAATTCAAGTCACATTTGACTTCTACAATTACAAGAGGTGCTCAAAGTGATTACTATCAGCATCCAGACACTTCTGATTATGGCGAACTACTGCTTGAGCAACGTTGACCATCCCTTAAAATGTGTATATATATTTTTGGCACCCCTGGTATAAATGAGATTGTCCTATTTTTTACAACTTTCTTTAAAAATAATTTAGCAATAAATTTAAATTTCTTTCCATCTCAGATCACATATCTCATTATTTGTATTTAGCCATTCTTGCATTTAAAAAGTGTGTTTTTTTTGGTTGTTGTTCTAATAGAAACCAGTTTAGGAAGTAACAAAGTAAATAGAAAAAGGTCATCACTTTTGCCTCTGGTGATATTTGGTTTCTCTTTCCTGCTAGTAATGATGAGGAATTTAGCTAACTTACATTACTCCTCTTTTCTTTCTCTTCTGCCTAGTCCCCAGTTTTAATCATGTTTTAATTCTTAAGTCTGCTTTGACTGCCTAAAACTTTAACTATTATTCCCAAATCTCTATTTATTCATCACTATTTACCATTTTTAGATGTATGTTTTGGTTCCTCACGATTTAAGAGGATGTCCTTACTCTTCCTTCCACACTTTTCCCTCTCTTTAGTTTCTAAATTGTTGTCATCAATACTACTATATTTCTGTTTTGTCACGGTAGTTAAGTATTTGGTGCTTCATGTAGAAATTGATTTAAAAAATTGAAAGCAAACAAACACCATTTGATTGATTCTGAAAATGGAAATCCAACAAACAGCACTGCTATATTTAATCACGTATGTTAACCCTTATTCACTACAGCCGCAGATAGTGACAGAGGGGCTACAGCTGTATCAGTTTCCATGAACTCTTTTTTGCTCTCTGTTTTTTCACAAAATCCTGCTTTTATTTTATGGATAGAAATTCTTGAATTTTCTGAGGGAAACTGAAATATTTTTAATGTGTAATAATGTGTCCTGTATGGCCTATTTGTTTGTTCTGTTTGTTCATATTAGTTCTTCTTCATGCTGATAATTTTCCTCAAGTATGCAGTATTTCTTGGTTGTTCATTCATTTTTATGAACGAAGGAACAAGTGAATTAACTCAGAGCAACTGCAAGCTCTGGGTATGTGAACTGAGCAAGCTGTATTACCCTTCCATTTGAGACGTGAGGATGAGAAGAGGCAGGCAGGTTGGATCTTGCCCCAGATAATGCAGGGCACTGATCAACAATCTGTGGTACCTAGCATCTTCTAGGCAGATTATTTAACTACTTTAGAAATTATTTATTATTTTTCTTCATGGGGGCAAATGTCAGCTGTTACATGAGGAGCTGGTAGGGGCAACCTTAAGTAATTTTTATTTAATTAACCTCTTGGACTTTCTAGATAATCAAATTATATGCAAATACATAATGAGTTTAGTTCTTATTTTTAACAAGAATGCTATTTATTGTTCTTATAATATTACTTTGGCTAGTTCCTACAGTACAATGTTGAAATTTTTTAAGATTAATATCTTAAAAATCTTCACAGCAGACTATCTGAGAGATCCGCAGGTTAATTCTTCTTAGAAAAAAAAGATTTTATTTTTCTGTAAATGGCAATTTGACCTTTTGGAACAGTGCTTTTTTCCCTGGCATATTGCATCTTTTAGTCCTTATGTTAGGAGATGCATGTTCTAAAATTCACGGATTCAGAGATGTGCCTCTAGTATGAAGGAATAAGTTCACTTTGCCTCTTGCTAATGATAACCATAAAACATGGATCGCGCGCACGTACACACACACACACACACACACACACACACACACACACACATTTTGTCTGTCTTTCTTGCTCATTCAAGTGGCTCTGGAGAGTCAATAAAGGCCAATTTTGGAGAGCAGTAAAATTTTGGAGAAAGCAATTGGTTTTGGGTGAGTTGTCTGATTTTGTACATTTTCTCAGAGGGCAACCAGCCTTACAGTGGTGGTGGCAAAGGGTGACTAAAGCTCTGAGAGAAAGCTTGCTATCTTTCCAGCTGGGGCAACCAGGGGAAGGAGGCACAACCAGGGCACTGGAGAGTGAGGGTAAATTCCAGAGTTGAGAGAGCCAGAGAAGGGAACACCAAATTCAGTTTGTAAAGACTGCCCAAGTTTCTGGCTAATGTCTGAACCTTGCACATATGGGCTGTTTGAGAACAGTATAAACTGCCACCCACTGCAGGCATGACTAAGTTTGCAGGTTTAGTCTTACCAAGTTAATTGCCGGCTACAACAAAAACACCAGCCCTCTCTGGGGGTATGTAGCAGAATTTAGAATCCCTACAACATAACATTCATTATTTTAGGATGTAATCGAAAATGAGCATCATGAGATGTGATCCATTCTCATAAGGAAAGGTAATCATCAAATACCCAGTCCAGCTGTTAGAGTTACTAAACAAAAACTTTAAAACAGTTATTGTCACTATGTTCAACAAGTAAAAGGAAATACACTCATAATAATGGAAAAGATAGGAAATCTCAGGAGAAAAATAAAAAATATAAAAACAAACCAAACGAAAATTTTAGAACTAAAAAGCATAACATTTGAAATAAAAAATATTGGTTGGGCTTAACAGTAGAATGGAGATGACAGAGAGAGGGAAGAATCAGTGAATTTGAAGGCAGATCAATAGAAACTATCCAACTTAAAACAGAGAAAAAAAAAAGGATTGAAAAAATTAACAGCTCCAGGGACATGTGGAACAATAGTGAAAAATTTAATCTATGAGTAAAGGAGAAGACAGAACAAATGGGTCAGAAAAAATATTTGAGGGAATTACGTCTAAAGTTTTCTGAAGTGCAGTGAAAGACATAAATTTACAGAGTAAAGAAGCTTAGCGAACCCAAAACTATATAAATATAAAGAAATGAAACTACTGAAAAGCAAAGATACAGAAAAAAATCTTGAACGCAGGCAGGGGAAACAACACAGGAAAACAATTCAGATGAGCACATTCTTCTCATCCCTCTGGCTCCTATCACACAGGGATGAGTGAAGAACATCAGAAATGGTAAATACCTGGATAAATATAAAAGAGGATTTATTTTCCTCTTAACATATTTAAAATACACATGTTTTTAAAACAAAAACTATATTTTAAAACAAAAACTCTTTCAAACAAAATCTATAGCTTTTTTCTTGTGGGGTTTATAATGTATTTGATTGTAAAACACATGACAACTGGAGCATACACGATGTTGGCAGAGTGGGGTGGGTGTAAATGGACTTAACGAGTCTCAAGGTTTCTGTAACATTACACGAAATAATAGTATCTCTAAGTAGAGTGTGAAAAAGCTAAGAATGAGAGCAACCATGAAAAAATAATGCATAGAAGTATAACTAAAAAGCCAACTGATAATTTAAATGGATTTCTAAAGTATATTCAAATCATCCCAAAGAAAGCTGGAGAGGGGAAACAGAAAACAGAGGAGACAAAGAGAGAGCAAATAAACTTCATGGTGTCAGAATTAGGGCTAGATTTGGGATAAATTGTCATGGTTATCATCAGTAGGGGACAGTAGGGTGAAGGTCTGCAGCTGGGTAGATTATGTCAGGAGACTGATGGAGATTATAGTCAGAATGCTTACGATTAGGAAAGAAATGGAAGAGGAAGGAGTAAAAGACCCAGCAGAGTCTAGAGGCTCTTCTGTACACAGATGCTCACTCTTCAGACGCTAGGTTCCTTTATTACACTGGGGAGTGAGGCTGCCTTCTAATGACGGATTCTGAGACACTACTGTCAATTATTTGGTTTTCAGTGCCTTGAAAGTCAATCCTCAACCAGTACATCCATGCACACTTTGGCTTGCTGTTCCATCCCAAAGTGCCCTCTCACATCCATCCACCTTTGGGCCTGTGCACTCTGCCTTCTCCCTAGAAGCTCTCGGGGATGGTCGTGGCCTGGTGCTTGGCCCTGAGCCTTGTTTCAACCTCATTTGGACCCTGACTTTGACTCCCCCTCAGTACTTAGGGTATAGATCTCTACTAACTATTCGCCCGGGCGTCGTCGCTCACAACTCTGCGTACTTACTGCTCCGGCTCCCCGTCCTGGCTCCTACTGGCTTTCCCCAGGCCATGGCTACTCTACACCTCATAGAAGGGACACGGGCACCAGAGAAGGAGCCAGTGGACAGGAAGAGAGCCAAGATACGTGCGTGAGGAGTAAGAGTGGAAGCAAGGCCTCTGAGGAGGATGAAGACAGGCAATGTAAATCTTTATATGATGGGGTTTGGCTTATAGAATATGCTATAGTCACACTGGGAGACTAAAGTTCCACACGATGGTGACATTTTCCCATGAAATTGATGGGAGTAGTCACTTTGAGACTTTGAAATGACTTCCAATGTTAAAATGTTTTATTTGCTGCTAAAAGGTCATGCAGTAAAGGCAAGGGTGAGAAGACAAACTTGGGAAGGGCTTTATCTGCATATGGTTCCCCATTTAGTTCTCAAGAGATGAGTCATGGAGCTGCATGTTCTGTACAAAGAGGCAAACGACAGGATGGCCCCCGGCTCTGTTCATGAAAGCAAGCTCCAAGGTCTGTTTTGTCAGGATGGATTCCACTCGGTGTCACATTAACTGATTATAACAATCACACTATGTGATCTTTGAGATGCCACATTTTGTTTAGTCTTTTTTTGTCTGAGGCAGTAGCAGGACATCTCTTATAAAATTCTCATTAAAGGAGTTGGAAAGAAAATCAATACACGGTTTTAATCTTTGACTTACCAAAAATCTCAGGAATTGTCTTTCAAAAGCCAGTTTGTATAAATTAATTGTGTGGGATACACAGCCAGTTTCATAAAATGTTAAGTCTCAAGAGACCTAACTTACAAAAGCCTATTTAATTTAAAAGATAGACTATTAAATCTTTGAATGAAAAATAAGAAAGCCCCCACCCATTCTAATGTTAGCAAATAGAAAAGTTATAAATTAAAAACATTTAAAATTTATCCTGAAAACAAATTCTCTTAAGAAAAAAGAAGACTTAACTAAACAATGGTAAAGAAGGAAAATTAAAGTATTGTTAATTAGGGAAACTAGGTATTATTAATTCTTCCCATTTTACAATGAAAACCTGGACTCAGAGAGGTTAAGTAACTTGCTCAATGTTATACAGCAGCAACAAAACAATTATAAGTTGAGTGCCTACTATGTGTCAGCACTATGTTAGGCACTAGGTAGCCACCAATGAACAAAGTTAGCAAGAACCGTAGAGATTATACCAGTTTAGGTAAACTCAACCCCAAAGTCTGGACTCTTGGTAATATGTCCCTGAGACATTTGAGGTGATTCTTAAGGGGACAACTAGGGGCTCCCAAGGGCTAAAGGTAGTTAACAGTGGTTGATCCCACATTAGGATGTCTGACTTTTTAATCCTAAACATTAGCATGACTTCTTGAACAGAAGAGAATTTCAGAACACGTTTGTTCAGAGAATGAGCATTAGAACGAGGCCAGAGACTTCTGTCAATTTTGTTCATGGCTGATTCTCCGGTGTCTGAAATAGTATCAGGCACATAGTGAGCACTCAGTTAAGGTTTGCACATGGACTGGCCGAATGGATGAAAGAAGATCAAAGCAAATAACGAAGAGGAGGGTTCTGTCCCTTAGATGGTGCCATAACTTTCTCCATCTAATAGTTTTAGATCAACTTCTGGCTATAAATACTTTGTTTGGACAAACAAGCAATTGTTCTGGCCGCTCTTGTGTAATGTTTTGACCCACAGTCACAGTTGCATTGTATCAGGAGTTTTCTGTATGGAAACCCAGCATATCCACACCGGGGGGATACATGGTTGAACACATAGTGAGCCCTATTTTCTTTTATCTCTCTTTTCTCCTTCCCTTTTTTGGGTTGAACATGTTTATACAGATGGAAATCAGATTACAGGAGACAGCCTTGAAAAGATGTTACAAATGTGCCTTAAACCAGAAGGAAATGGAAGAAGGCAGAGACTATAGTATCGTTTGCCTTGGTTACAAGGGTTACTTGTAAACTGATTGTATAAACATGAGCCTCAGGTCCTTTATAGAACTTGCTGGTCTAGTCACACCTCCTCTTTAACTCCTACATCCCTGAGCAAGCTTGGCTGAAGCATTTGGGTCAGTTAGGTCAATTCGGGAATAGTTCTTCCTTAAACAAAACAAAATCCACTATCTTCAAGGTTTATCTTTTTTAAAAAATCAGCAGATGGAGAGAGCTGCACGGAGCCTCCTACACAGACAGTATATGGCTCTGAGAGTTCACAGACTCTGCCTTATTCCTTTCTTTATCTTGAGATAATCTATATTTTAGTCCCGGCACAGCTTCACAGGCTCTCTGTCTAAACCTTAACACCAAGCTCCCAGCCTATCTCCCTGTGGCATGGGCAGGAAGTGTGAAAAGCAAACATAACAATCCAAAACAAGCATAGTTTCATGTAGCATTATATTTTGTATTAGATTATTTAAACACCTGTAGTGGTTTTCTTTCCTTTCAGAGTGTTCATTTTTCTGATTTTAATAATAATAAAAGGTCATTGTAAACTCTTATGGGATAATAAAAAGTATAGAGAAAATAAGAATGATATATAATCTCACTACTTGTACATAAACTGTATGTTCTTCAAGACTTTTTTCTATGCATCTTTTTATTTTATATAGCACACACATATGCACACACACACACACACACACACACACACACAAAATGGTTGTCTTGCTTTAAAAAAAAATCTTACTTACCTCCCCTTTCCTTCTTTTCTCTTTCTCTGCTCTAAGTTCAGCCCTTCTTCTAGAAATCATAACATCCTATTAAAGAAACATTTAAATTTTTTAATGGGTAATAATAAAATGACTACGTATTAATATAATATTTATATGTTATGTTCTTCCCCCCCCCCAAAGTAATATACATATTTCCCAATGTGGGAATAACATTTGGGTGGAAAGATGGTGAGCTTTCCAGAAAAGTATGTGAGGGTGGTGATTATGTCACTACATCCTTGTACCTTCAGACCACTTGGTCAGCCGTTTCCCTTCAGAGCGATAAAGGGCACTTGGGGCCAGTCACTCTTCTACAAACTTTAGAATTCCTATTCAAATTTATCACTTATTAGTTTGCTTTTGGTGAAGAGGTGGATTTTGTACATGGAGAAATAGAGAAAAAGCTGGAGGCAATCTGTTGAAAATGTTTAATCTTGTATCAAAATTCTAAAATATAAGATCTTAATAAAACCTAAAAATACACATACAAGTGAGAAAAGCGTATGTACTTTGGTTACCTTCACGGACATGGTATATGGGTGGTCCTCCGGGCTTCCCAGGGGCCTCTAAATCTAATGCAATGGATCCTTTAATATACCCCCAAGGTTCATATGAAAACTAATCAGCCCCACCCACTTTGATTTGGGGGGCTCATTGGCTCAGGGTTCTCTAAATTGAAGTCCCTTTAAGTCCTGGGAGATTAGAGTGATGCTTGAAGACACGATCTGGGGGCTCAGATCTAGACCTGCAGACTCCTGCTGCTTTTATCTGGCAATTAGTGAGTATATACTCTGGAGAATTTATGTTTTGTTGACACTAAAAGAATATTTGTAGATAAAATTATAAAACTGAATGGAATCGAATTAATTTAGTTTTTAAGCCCCCAGAGAGATTCTTTAGCTCTTTAGAGGGTGAGAGTTTACAAAAACTCTTATTATACCTTTCTTTTTTTAAAACCAGAGTTTTACATTGGTGCTTTAACCGTAGAGTTGTGAAAACACATTCTCCTTTGTGTTTTCATAACATAGATAGTATAGATACCACAAAGAAATGCAAAGTATGTACAATAACACACACATATATTTTGCATATCTTTTTCTTCTGATCCTTTCACTCAAATAAGTCATGGTTAGTAAAGTTTAACTAATTATTGTGTGTCTGCCGGATGCCATCATTGTTCTGAGCACTGCAATACATACATTCTTTCATTTTCTGCTCAAACCATATCTGCCAGGCAGACAGTACTATTCTACTCCATAGGTGCGTTAACAAAGTCAGCGGGTTTAACTTAACTCATGTAATGTCACACGGCCAGTGGAGGACGGTGTAAGAAACTTCCAGATAAGGGAACGGAAAAGCATACGGTTTGTTGGGTGCTACAGAGGAGGGTTCGTATTTGTTCCACAAACAAAGATGGAAAGAGGATTTGGGACAAGATTGGTAGGCTTTCAATGCCAGAATAAAGAGTTCAGACCTTAACAGGGTGGCTGGATCAAAACAAGGTTTTAGGAAGACCAGTCTGGAGGTGGCCAGAAGGATAGGCTGGAAGGCCCAGAGATGAAGCCAGGAAGGAGAAGTGGCAGGTCACTGCTGGGTGGGAGCTGAGAAGGATCAGAGCCAGGATAGAGTTGTGGGTGTGAAACGAAAGGAGCTAGTGTGTGAGGTTATGAACTAGCTCTTGAAACTTCCTCTTTTCCTGTTTCATATCCCTCAAATTCTCAGGGCAGGAGATGTTCAGGGTGGGGCTTCATTGCCCTAGAGATGCTCTGTCCAATATGGTAGCTACTAGCCACTTGTGACTATATTAAAATTAATTAAAAATAAGTAAAACTAAATATGTGGGTTCTCAGCCTCACGAACCCCATTCAAGTGCTCAGTAATCACATGTGTGAAGCTGGGTATCTTTCCACATCTCTCTCCTTACTTCCATAGTTTTGGGATGGCTGAGAATTCAGCTTGCCTTCATTTTGGGTGGGATATGCATTCTTAGTGTGGTAGAGCAGAGGGATGGATGGCAATGCCCTTGAAGGGATTTCCTCTGGCTAACCCCAAGAAGAAAAGAATTTGCCAATTGTGGCTCAGCAATGAAAAGGGAACTTCATGGTTTTTAACACTTTGCCTATAACAAGTATTGAGTTGTGAGAATGTATTAAGCAACTTAAGTTATAGTATCTCAGAATTGGAATTAACTGATCGGCTCTCTGACACTACAGAGAGGTTTTTCCCACGGCATTCCTGCCAAATGTCCATTCAGTTTGTGTTTATCTATTGACAAATAGCTCACTGCCTTCAATCGTGGTTCTTTTTGGAAACTCTTACTTATAATGAAATACATCTTTCTGTACCTTCCTCCTATCAATGGTAGTTCCTTCCCTTGAGGCCACGTGGAACAACTACAGGCTCTCTTCAGCATAAAAGACCTTCAAATAATTGAACACTGCTCTCATGTTCCATCTTAGTCTTCCTAGTTCCAGATTCAAAAGCTCTATTCTTTCTACTCCAGCCCAGATCTATAGATCTGCCATGTCAAGACATGTCATATAAATGTAATGAATCATGTAGTATGTACTATTTGTTTTGTCTGGCTTCTTTCACTTAGCATAATGCTTTTGATAATCATCCATGTTGTAGGGCGTATCCACGGCTCATTTCCTTTTAATACTGAGTAGTAGCCATTATATGGATGTACCACTTGTTTATTTATTGATTCAGTTTTATAAAATGTTAAGGTATTTAAAGTGTACCTCGTGATGATCTATGTATACACACTGTGAAAGGATGCCTCCCATTTAGTTAACACATGCATCACTTCACCTATTTATCTTTTTTTTTTTAATAACATTTAAGTTCTCGTTTAGCAAATTTCAATTATACAATGCCATGTTATCAACTATACGTCAGGTCTTCACACCTTATTTATCTCACACGTGAAAATTTGCACCCTTTTACCAACCTCTCCCTATTTCCCCCAACTCCCAGGCTTCGGCAGCCACAATACATGTGTGGGGTTATTTCTGGGCTTCCTATTCTGTTTCATTGATCTATGAACCTCTCTGTGTTGAATTTTTCAGTTCAGTTATTGTACTCTTCAACTCTGTGATTTCTGTTTGGTGCCTTCTTATATTTTCTATCTCTGTTTTGAAATTCTCATTTTGTTCACGCACTGTTCTCCTGACTTTGCTGAACATCTTTATGACCATTATTTTGAACTCTTTATCAGGTAAATCACTTACCTCCTTTTCTGTAAGGTCTATTTCTAGAGTTTTATCTTGTTCTTTTGTTTGAGATATTCCTTTGTTTCTTCATTTTCTTTGCCTCTCTGTGTTGGTTTCTGCACATTAGATAAAACAGACACCTCTCCAAGTCATGACAGAGTCGTGTTGTGTAGAAGATGAACTTCATTAATCAGTCTGGCCGTAGTTCTTGGCTTTCTCAAATCTTTGTGATTGTTCAAGCCACCTTCTGTGTTCTTTGTGGGCCCCAGTAGTTGAGGGTGTGCTACGACCCATCAGTGTCCCAAAGGGGAGACTGCAGCCAGCACAGGCTGATGGGAAGCTGGATCTTCAGGCAGCAGATGTTTTGATATGGATGATATGGGTATTTTCTTGTTTGCCCAATGTGTAGGAGTAAAAGGTACAAACTCGCTCAGCTAGTTTCTGGGTTTCCTTCAGAGGGAATTGCTTTGTGTGCAGCTGTAGCTTCAGTGTGTCTATGGCAGGAGTTCAGGAGGCTCCTATGTTTCCATCTTGGGCCAGAACCCAGGGCAGTCTATCTGGATGTGTATCACCTTTAGTTTATCCATTCATCAGTTGATGGGCATTGTGCTGTCTCCACTTTTTGGCTATTATGAGTAATGTTGTTATGAACATTTATATACAAATTTTTATATGGAGATGTTTTCATTTTTGTTAGATAGATTCCTAGGAGTAGAATTACTGGATTCCCTATGACACTTTTAAAACTTATTAGTTTGCTTTTGGTGAAGAGGTGGATTTTGTACATGGAGAAATAGAGAAAAAGCTGGAGGCAATCTGTTGAAAATGTTTAATCTTGTATCAAAATTCTAAAATATAAGATCTTAATAAAACCTAAAAATACACATACAAGTGAGAAAAGCGTATGTACTTTGGTTACCTTCACGGACATGGTATATGGGTGGTCCTCCGGGCTTCCCAGGGGCCTCTAAATCTAATGCAATGGATCCTTTAATATACCCCCAAGGTTCATATGAAAACTAATCAGCCCCACCCACTTTGATTTGGGGGGCTCATTGGCTCAGGGTTCTCTAAATTGAAGTCCCTTTAAGTCCTGGGAGATTAGAGTGATGCTTGAAGACACGATCTGGGGGCTCAGATCTAGACCTGCAGACTCCTGCTGCTTTTATCTGGCAATTAGTGAGTATATACTCTGGAGAATTTATGTTTTGTTGACACTAAAAGAATATTTGTAGATAAAATTATAAAACTGAATGGAATCGAATTAATTTAGTTTTTAAGCCCCCAGAGAGATTCTTTAGCTCTTTAGAGGGTGAGAGTTTACAAAAACTCTTATTATACCTTTCTTTTTTTAAAACCAGAGTTTTACATTGGTGCTTTAACCNAAAGTTTTAATTCTTTGTGTTTCAGGCCTGCTGCACTTGCTGCCTCTTCCACTATGTTCCTGTGTCTGGTAGAAGGACACTTTGATGCTACCATCATTTTACTTTTATTTGCCTTGGAGAGAAAAGCATTAACATGTTGATAATCACATAGGCCTCAAATAATTCTTAACTCTTTAATTATAAATACTCTTAATACTTGTAGGAAAGTGTTTTCATATTGACTGTTATTAAAATCAGAAAACTACATTTTTTTAAAAGACCACTTTATAAATTGAATAGGTGCTGAACAAATTCACTCCCATACTTTTTTATTGGCTACATACCTTGATTTTTGCCTTCATTTCTTTAATAAGTTTTTTCCTGTCTAATTTCTTCTTTTGTTTCAGTTTCCACTTTTCAATTAGGAAAGGCAGGAGGCGATCAGAAACATCTTGATCATCAATTTGTATAAAAACAGCAGCATCTGGGAAAAATCCATGTTCCCCCAGAAACTGGACTTCTTCAGGATATCGTGGGAAACCATCTAATATAAAACCTGTGGAGCTAGGTGGAAATTTAATAATTTACTTTATCTGCTCAAAATATTATATTAGGAATATTGATTTAAAAATGAAAAAGAGTACTAATAAATTTCAACTTTACAAGATGTGCAATGAATAGTTAAAAAAGTTTACTATAGTATCTTTTATTTCTTTAATATTTCTATCTGTATAAACATGATGTGTCTTCTCTTAAATGTATAGTATTAGATTAAAATTTAATATTTTATACTTATATTTGTAGTATAGATAAGGTCTCTTTAATTGTAAATAGTCTTAGTATTTGATGAAAAATTAAGAAAACATAAATTCTCTGCTTGAGAGGAATGCCCATCCTAATGAACGTCTCACTTTTTATATAAAGGTGAGCTTGGCCAGCCCACCTTTAGTTTTTCTTTTAATGATGCTTCCTTTCATGAGACAATTCGTACCGTCTTCCCTGGATTCCCTTGTAACCAGTGACAATTATTAATGTATATATCCTCAATCATCTGTGTAAGGTGATTCTATTCAAATAGGATTATCAAACTTGTTCAAGTACAATGAAACTTTAAGAATCCTGAAAATAACTGGAATGTTAACACATTTTCATTATGGAGTACCTATAAAACAATCAGGCTTTGAGAACTTGGCTTTGTTTAGCTGAGAAAGTCAATATCAGTCCTCTTTTGAATGAGAGTTTATCCTGTTTATCTAAAATTTGGTTTGTTTAAATATTTATATTTAAACATATATTTTCTTCCTAATAGGAATGGGACTTTCATGAACATTTGACAGTTTCAGCCACTAACTGGCATTTAAAAATGTTTTTTCTCTCTCTCTCTTTTTTTTTTTTTAGCTGAGCCATCCTACCACCTGTTGGCAGCTCAGTAGCAGCTCAGCTTGGGCCATGATTTGAAACAGCGACCCTGTTGCTCAGAGCTCGCACTCTTGAATAAGCTCTTAACCAACTGAACCACTTGGCCGGCCCGTGTTTTCTCTTACTAAATGGGCAAATTTCTATATATTATCCATAAAATATGTGTCCTTTTCTTTGGAGATGCCTTCAGCATAGTCTCTTCTGAGGAACAATTTCATTCCTACTGTTCCAGTTGTCACTTCCTTGTCAATAACTTCTAAATCTTTACCTCTACACCCAGCCTCTGTTCTGAGTTTTGATTCAGAATTTTCAAAAAGTTGCATAGTTTCTTCACCTGACTGCCTTTCTGGGATCATATATGCATTGTACTGTCAAAAATCATACTGATATCCTTCCACACTGCTTAGTCCTACTAACTCACTAGTATTCAGGTGGCAAGCATCAGAGACATTTGGACTGCTCCCTCAATTCTCACATACAATAGCTAAGTCCTAGTGTGCCTCCTTCCGTACCCACATTTCCATTTCCAACATTACACCTTAGTTCAGGGACTTATATCTTTCCAGACTAACGCAATAGCCTTTTAAAAATATGCTGATGTTTTCCCTGATTATAAAAGCAACAAATCTCATGGTAGAAAAAGTAGACAATACATAAAAGCATGAACAAAAGGCAAAATTTTCCATAATTTCATATTCCATTCTCATCCTGACATTTTGTTTTCTTTCTTTCCAGCTTGTTCTTCATGTGCCCATCTCTCTGCCATATTACAAATAGCTTTGTATCTTCTTTTTAACTTAACATTAAGAAAATGTATGGCATGAGGTTGGGACCTAAATTAATGAAGAACTTAATAACTATTGTTGTAGGCAACTTACCCAAGTTCACCACAACTATTGATCTAAGTTAGGGAACAGGAACTTAGAATTAAAGTTGGTGAGTAATAATCCCACTTACTTATTTAGTCCAGGGAGCAAGTGAAAGAGTGTCTAGAGGAGCATCGGGGCTGGCTAGTTATTTGATTTCTTTATGATATAGTTTATCTCCAAAATGAGATAATAAAAGTTTCTATGCCACAGAATAGTAGTAAGGATTAAGTAAATTAATATGAATAAAATATAGTACCTGGTACATAAAATTGGTATATGAATGTTTATATACTGTTAGTACTATAAGTATCATTTCCCTTTCTTCTGGTGGATACCAAGGCAAGAGATTCTGGTTAGGAAAGCAAAGCGAGGTTTTAAACTCTGGTGACCTGGAGATTCTTACATTTGTCCTGTCTGGCGTCAGGCTTGTTCCTGGCTTTTGATAAATGGATAACACTATATATGCTATTAAGTGATTTTAACGGTAGTTGTTAAACAGTGACAAGGAAAAGGGTCCAGCCCAGCATTAGTGTACATGGGTTTAGAACACGGGTTGTCAACCAAAACTACACATTAGAATCACTTGGGGCGCTCTCAAAAATACTAACACCTGGGTCCCAACCTCACACTCCTAAAGATTTTGATTCAGTTGTTTTGGTTAGGGTCCCTGACATCAGTACTTTTAGAATAATTCCCCAGATGTTTTTAATGTACAGAATCACTAGCATACATAATAATAAAAGAGAAAAATTGTTAAATTTATGTTGGATTACATTTTTAACTTTTGAGAATAAAGCACATGAAAGTCAATAAATGTATAATCCTATATAAATGAAGGTACCGTATTGGTTCCTTAAACCACCACTCAGAAAGAATTGCTTCAAGAATTTCGGGAGGCAGTAGCTCATTTTCAATTAGACTTAATTTGATTGCTTCTTCTTCTTCTGTAAATTTTACTTCTGAAAGCTAAAATTAAAATCAGAAAGCAAAATAGAAAAATTTTTAATTCTCTATTAATAAACAATACTATATTACATAATTGATTAAGATGAGCCCTGCTTTCCTCAGGTGATTTTTTATACTGTTGCTTGTAAACTTTTAAAAATTTGATGTCTTTTCTTTAAACCCATATTGAATATGGTTTTAATTAAATAGTATATTTTATCTAGTATAGGTAAGAGGAATTAGTAACGATTAGCATAACTGATTTTCATACATGGCCTGAGGACATTTGTCTCATCATTTTATGCTAAAACCTTGTTCAATCTGTATCACTTGTAAGGCCTAACTGATTTTTGTCGTCTATCTTCTATTTATTTAGCCTAGATCCTGATTAAAGGATGGGCTAGCCAGGCAGTCATCTGAAGTATAACATGAACCTGGGTCCATTTACAGGGGATCATTTGAGAAGAAAAGCGTCTTAGCTATATTAGAAATGGTTAACTTTCTTATGAAGCATCATTAGAAATTGATATTTTGAGATCTCCATTGGCACTGGGGCAGATTTTTATGATACATGATTTTAAAAAACCAGAGAACACAATAATGGAAAACCTTATAGTTGAGGTCAGACATATCAAATAGCATAGTCCCAAATAAATGCTATGTAACAGTCATGTCAGGGAAAGCTTTACTGATTTTTATTAGAGACATATAAAACTCAATAATTTATATTCTAGATGAAAAGTAAGATCTATATCTAACATATGGAGAGGGTGACGCTTAAGTGTCTTTTATAGGCTAATTTTTTTCTTCTTTTTAGAAACTTTTTAGAGTTTTATACTGCTTATACTCTACTTTCCAAAAGTAATACCAGTAAACACAACTATCTGCAGAGTATTAATATTCCTACCGGCTTCTTTGTATTGTCTTTCTCAATCGTGACATTGGCCTGAAATGCAAGCTCTTCAAGTTCTTGTCTTGCAAGTTGTTCTTCCTCAGCATCTTCCTCAAATTCAGGTCCAATACTCTTTTCAGTTTTGAGCATTAGTTTTTCTTGAAGAAATTCTTCAAACTGAATGTGAAAAATGCCCAATTTTTCTGCCAAATGTCTTCCACAGACAGTTTTGCCAGAGCCATGGGGGCCCAGAAGGCATACTCTTAATGGAGGAGCCTGCAGTGGGGAGGGAGGCAGTCAGGAAGAGGTGGGGTAATAGAGAGTGAAGGAAAGGAAGTTTTGAGGAATTTAAAAAAAAATAAGGCTAATTATTTGCCCTCCCGAAGACTGAATTATCACTTCATACTCAAGGGTGTTCAACATTAGGTATCAATTAACATAACTCATTGCATCAACAATGGTCCTCAGAGAGCAACAACAATCATAAGATCACCTTGATATCATGTGTCAAAAGGCATTTAATAAAATAAAATTATTTTTTTTAAAAAGTGTTAATTACAAAAATGAAAAGATACTTTTGGCATGATAAAAAGTCAAACAATAAATTTTATGCTCAACAGCACTAATAATCAGAGAAATGCAAACAAAAACCACAATGAGATACCACCTCACACCAGTTAGAATGACTATCATCAACAAGACAGATAATAACAAGTGTTGAAGAGACTGTGGAGAAAAAGGAACTTTTTTACACTGTTGGTGGGAATGCAGATTGGTGCAGCCGCTATGAAAGGCAGTGTGGAGATTCCTCAAAAAATTAAAAATAGAATTGCTATATGAGCCAGCAATCCCTCTCCTGGGTATCTACCCCAAAAATCTGAAAACATTTATCCATAAAGATATATGTGCTCCTATGTTCACTGCACCTTTATTTATGGTGGCCAAGACATGGAAACAACCAAAGTGTCCTTTGATAGATGATTGGGTAAGGAAGTTGTGGTATATATACACAATAGAATACTATTCAGCCATCAGAAAAGATGAAATAGTGCCATTTGCAACAACATGGATGGATCTTGAGATTATAATGCTAAGTGAAATAAATCAGACAGAAAAAGTTGAGATATGACTTCACTGATATGTGGTATATAAAACTGAAAACAACAAAGGAACAAGACAAACAAATGAAGAAACAAAAACTTATAGACTCAGACAATAGTTTAGTGGTTACCAGAGGGTAGCGGGGGTGGGAAAGTTGGGGGTGGTAGATGATGGTAAAAGTGATCAAATATTTGGTGATGGAAGGAGAACTGTGGGTGGTGAACACACAAAGTGATATATAAATGATGTATTACAGAATTGTATACCTGAAACCTATGTAACTTTACTAACAATTATCACCCCAATAAACTTTAATTTACAAAACAAAAACAAAACAAAACAAAAACCAATAAATTTTATTAAAATGGTGTGCCAGAATGACCAAGCATTATGTGATCTATGTAGAAATACATAAACTTTCCATGATAACATAAGTGAAAAAAGATTATGAAATATTATATATACTAGAAAGAATATATACTCATGTGGAAGAGGACGAGGAAGTAAAACATAAAAAAGAAGACTTGTTTAAAGCTTGTGCTTTTATGTGTGTGCTTTGTTTTAAAAAATGAATACAATATTGCCACGTGTTCTTTCATTATTGTGGTAAAATATACATAACATAAAACTTACCATTCGAAGCATTTTTAAGTGTACAATTCAGTGGTATTAAGTACATTCACAACGTTGTGTAACCATCACCACTATCTCTCTCCACAACGTTTTCATCATCCCAAACTGGAACTCTGTACCAGTTAAACAGCAACTTCTATTCTCCCCTCCTCACAGCCCCTGGCAACCACTCTTTTATTTTCTGTCCCTATGAATTTACCTATTCTAGGTACCTTGTATAAGTCAAATTATATAGTATTTGTTCTTTTGTGTCTGGCTTTAATAAATATTTTTTAAAGAAAGTAGAAAATGGTTCCAATGGTGATAAACGAGCACGAATAAAAAAAAGTTCCCACAAACTTAGGAAAAGATTAATTGTTCTGTAACTACTTGAACCAGTTTTAAAACAGTTTAACTGATCAAGGACAACATCTCAGGGAACAGTTTTTTGTAACCGTTTGAATCAGTGTCAGCTCTTGCTCTTGAGAGTCAAACAATCAGGCATGGACTTGCCCCTATAATCATGCCTCTGAGTGTGAAACAAGTCAACAGCAGTCTCAGCTGAATAATCGTGTCTACAGATGATGTCAACCCATGGAAAGGCCACCAACCCCTAAATCCCATACTTGCCCTAAATCCTGTCTTATGATCAGCAGACTGCTCTGCTCAAAGAGACTAACCAGCATAGCTGTTTAAGGAATAAAATAAATGCAATAATAAAATAAAACATAAATAAAATTCAATAAATGTATAAGCAATAAATTCAACTGTGTTTTTTATTTCAGCTAAAAAGAGAGATGTTAAGCATCGGCTTGACACAAGACTACCATAAAAATCAAAACAGATAATTATTTTAGATTATATTCCAAAAAGTTGTTGGTGGAACTTACGTATTTTCACTATATTAGTATATCAGATTGAGGACTTCACTGTTAAGTAAATGGTGGATGTACTAGGTCCCCCCTAAAAGTACACAATCGTTAGGATAAAAATATGGTTCTCACCTTTAGTGGTTCTTTATGAGCCACATACTCCTGAGGATGCTCCAAAAATTTTTCTTTAGCCTCAGGACTTGAAAAGTAGTAGATCTTTTCTCGATATTTAGCTGCTTCTTCTATGTTGCCTGGTTGTAGGATGAAGTTTTCTTTGAGAACCACTGGACAAAAGTGCTTTGTATCTCCCAAATGCCTTTTCTTCTCTTTCACTCTATCTTCATTCTAGAAATATTATTTAACATTTGGGAAATATTTAAAAAAGTATTTTGGTGCAATACTAAATGGGTATTAATAAAGGTTTCTTGAATAATATTTAACCATAACAATACACCTTTAAAACAATCTGTAAAGGCCAGTTCTTTTTTTTTTTTTAATTGGGGAATTTGGGGAGGAGAACAGTATTGGGGAATCAGGGAAGGGGAACAGACAAGTTGCTGTCTTTTTGTTCTTCAGTCTAGTTGTGGAGAATATCGCTTCACTGGCACATGTTGGTATTATCATTGCGCTCTTCCTGGGTGAGGCAGTCACTCGCTGGCCATTGGACGGCCGGCCATTGGACGGCCGCCCACGGCGGCTCACAGCAGCTTACAGAAGCTCATTCCCGCTGCAGCCTACGCGCCATTGCGGGCGACTCACAGCAGCCCAGCTCCAAGTCGAGCTATTGTTCACCATCTTAGCTGCAGAAGGTGCAGCATCACTGGCCCTCATGTGTGGGATCCAAACCGGGGCCCTGATGCTCAGAGCTGGTGTCCCAAGCCAACTTCTAACCAACGTGCTACTCGGCTGGCTCTAAAGGCCAGTTCTTATGCTCTTTTAATTAATTAAAAAAAGTTTCTCATATCCATCAAAGTTCACATCTCAAGCTTCTTTATTTTCATAAAGGAAATAAAGCAGCACTGAGAATCAAGGTGTCTCCAGACACAGGTGTAATGAAAAACTCCAGAATGTGCTGGTGCAGGGTCAGTTTCTTAAATAAAATTACTCCCAAGAAGTAATAGCTGAGTCAGGGTCACAACTTCTTACCCATTGAAAATGAGATGAGAGATGTTTCAGGATTTGCTTTGTTTCCTACTAAGTGGATATGTAATCAAATAATTTGGAACTATTTTATTTCAGTCCACTGGAAATGTGTAATATATTTTCATTTGTGAAAAAGAAAGAATCTATGTGTAAAGCATTTAAGGATTCCTGTAATTTTATTTAAAGCAGTAGAACTACAGTTAAAAAATATTTTTCTGTTATAAAATACATGCTTATTGTAAAAGTATTCAAAACACATCACAATGAATGAAGAATAAAAATTTCTTCTCACCTTCCTTTTTCCTTCTAATACTATATTAACACTCAGCGGCTTTATGTGTATCTTTCCAGGCCCCCCCCCCTTTATTTAAAGTATGTCCCACCAATATACATACAAAAATAGATAGATATTTAGTCACAAAAACATTATTTTTAAAAATACAAATGGAAATACTTTACATGTTTATTCTACTACTTGCATCTTTTTTTGTCACCAATATACATACAAAATATTCAGTCACAAATACATTATTTTTAAAAATACCATTACTTTATATGATTTATATGATTATTCTACTACATATAAATACATATATGATTATTCTACTACATGTCTCTTTTACTCCCCTGAAACAAGATATAATGAACAGCTGTCTGTAAAGATTAAAAAATGAGACTAATCTCTACCTTTCTTGCACTGCTCTTTTTTTTATTTTTATCATTATTATTTTTTAAAATTTTATTTTAAATTTTAGTTTTTTTAATTACAGTTAACATTCAATATTATATTAATTTCAGGTACACAACATAGTGATCAGACATTTATATAACTTACAAAGTGATCACCTCGATAAGTCTAGTACCCATACATAGTTATTACAATATTACTGACTATATACTCTATGCCATACTTTACATCCCTGTGACTAGTATCTTGCAACATTCTTGTTCAATTTTTGTATCAGGGTTATGCAAGCTTCCTAATGAACTGGGAAGTATTGATCCTTTTTTATGATGTAGAAGAGTTAAAACAACATAGGAATTATCTAATCAATGACGGGATATTTGAAATGACCTAAAATTAAAATAATAAATCTATTATTTTTGTTTGTTCAGCTTTTATCTTTATTCCTAAGCAAATTTTAGTAATTTGTATATTGACAATCCTTTTCATCTTGATTTAAAATTTATTAGTATAAAGTTCCTGTAATTTAAAGTAACCCTCTTTTTAAAATCTGATTATTTACTGGTAGATTTCTGTTTCAAATGTTATTTATTGCTTTTTCGTTTTACCTGATTCAACTTGTCAGAAGTTTGTGTATTTTATTGCTCTTGCTTGTGAGCCAACTTTTCATTTTTTGAAATTGGGTCTCTTCTTTTTATTTGGCCTTGTTTTCCTATTTCATTAATTTTTCATTTTATCTCCTGCTTTCTATTTTCCTTTGGTTTATTTTGTTGTGCTTTATTCCAGGTTCTTGAGTTGAATGATCAATTAATTTTTCCAGTCTTTCTTGTTTTTCAATAAATGTTCTTAACGTAGGGCTAACAGACTTAGCACATAAAAATGCAGGCTCTCCAGTTATATTTGAATCTCAGATAAAAAATAAGGTTTTAGTATGTATCATACATAAGTATGTACCTTACATAAAAAATTACTCATTTATGTGAAATTCATATTTTTAATCTGGCAACTCTAATTTCTACTTCTGCCATGCAACAAAGCTTTTCTATGTGATCTTTTAATTATCATTAATTATTAGTCTGTACTTCCATTTTTGATTTCTTATTTAACTTATCAGCACTTAGAAAGAAAATATGTGTATACATTGTTAAAATTTCAAGGGTTTATTTTGGGGGAATGCGGAAGTACTATCCTTTCGGGGTTAATTTTTTGTTTTATTACACTGTGATCAGAGACTGTGATCTGTGAGATTTCTACATTTTATACTTCATTGCGATTTTCTTTGTGAACTACTGCATGAGCATTAAAGAGAATGTTCATTCTTTATGGGTGCAGACTTGAACACTGACTGACAGGTGACTGGATAAAGAAAATGTGGTATATTTATGTTGCCACGCAGCTGTCCAGCCGGCGCTTAACCCTAAACTGCTCATACACTTTGCGTCTGTTTGGCCCCAAAAGATGGCTGGTTAGTCAATGACGGGTAAGATTCCTCGAGGAAGGAACAACCTAAGACAGGCACAGTCGCATGGGGGCATCAAGAAAAATCTCGGGGCTGATGGAGGTAGGCATGGGTCCTCACCCGCCCCCAAAGAGACTGGAGGTCTTCTACCCCTGTAGCTAAATTCCTTCACTCAACCTGCTTGGGAAGTGACCTGATGATCTGTCCTCAGCATAATAATCTTATCTTCCTGGGGTCCTATGTGTATAGGGTGTGTGAAGGCAGAGCATCTGTTTTATCACTGCGGGTGGACTCTTGGTAATAGCAGCTTGCGGGCATGGGTAATCTGGCTTGAGCAAGTTCTCGGGAATGAGACTCACAGACTGTGGAGAGAACAATGCTACTTCCAGGTAGGTGGAAAAATGAAAGCGGCATGTTGGCCCGATTCGGGGCTCTTAGTCCACGAGGTTGGAGCCCCTTGGCCCCTCACTCATTTAACTATTGGCGGCTGTCTCTTTTAGTTCTTAACCCTTCACCACCCCCTTTCATTCTCCCACTGCCCATGTTGTATGGGATGAGACATATTTATATACAGTGGAACATTATTTGACCATAAAAAAGAAGGAAATCCTGCACCTTGCAACAACATGGATGATCCTTGATGGCATGACACTAAGTGAAATATGCCAGAAAAAGACAAGTACTGTATGATCTCACTTATATGTGGAATCTAAAAAAGCTGAACTCATAGAAACAGTGGTAGCCAGGGACTGGGATGTGGGAGGAATGGGGTGATGTTGGTCAAAAGGTACACACTTCTAGTTATAAGATGAATAAGTTCTAGGGACCCAATGTATAGCATGGTGACTATAGTTAATAATAATGTATTACATACTTTAAAGTTGCTAAGAGAGTAGATCTTAAATGTCCTCACCACACACACAACATTGTAATTATGTGAGATGAAGGATGTGTTAACTAACATTATTGTGGTGATCATTTTGTAATATATAGATATATCAAACCATCATGTTGTACAACTTTAAACTTACACAATGTTATATGTCAGTTATTTCTCAATTAAGCTGGAAAAAATTTTAAAAAGACTTTAATAAACACTAACATAGTTTCTAACAGTTCAAGGCTACATCCCTAATATGACCCTATTCCCTTTTTAGTGCCTACCTGCAAAAACTCAAGGCTGCTAAAAAAATGTACTGTTTGTTCCAGCCAGCACCTGAGGATAGGCTTTCTGTCTCCTAGTCTCTATGGGAGCAGAGAATCCTGACTTCTCTAACTGCCATCTAGCAGACACAGCTGGCTCAATTGTTTTTTAAACTAACCAATTAATTAACTGACTGACTGACTAACCCTTTGTAATTTTTCACTTCCCTAATTCTATGGCGCTCCTGCTTGCCTCTCCCCACCCCCCCAACTTCCTACTCTTTAATTCTCCCTTTCACTTCTGTATGTCTGTTCAACTCAATCAAAGTTGATTTCAGTTCACACTGGACTTTTTTCCTTATTGCAGTAGTTATTACTGATTAAAATCTGTTCTTTGCACTTTAAATAGTGCCCAGTTTTGTTTATCTTTTACAGTATAAAATATATTTTTGCATTAAAACATGCATTTCTCCTTGAATTCTTTTATTGATATTCAGAATGCCATTTCTTTTTTTGTTGTTAGCATTTGCTTTTTATATCTTGATCCATTTGATCTATTTTGTTTTTACAGTTAATTGTTATAAATGGTATATATTTTTTGACTCCAGTCTTTCCTTATAATGGGTTGGCCTAGAATTATCCCTAAATAAATTTTAGAAACAGAACATGAGGTATGTGTGAAGTGGTGATAGTGGTGGTATGGTGTCTTGGAGCAAGGGATTCTGGGAAGGTGGTGATCTGAGGAAACTCCCTTTCTCTACCAACTCCTTAGTGTAAAATAACTGCTGGGGCAGATGGTTGGCCATGGACATCTGAGGGGAGAAAACTGTACAGCACTCTTTACCACTGTGGGCTGCATGAGTACCTGGGGACAAACATCAGAGGGACCAGAGTATTAAGGTGATAAGTCCTAAGAGGAATTTTGTTTTCAGAGATCTGTGGATTTCCTGGGGAATGTTAGCATCAGCAACTATCACCCAGGAGTGTTTGTGGTCTCTCTGACTTGCTAAAGACAAAGAAGGGGCTGTATGTGTGAGAGGAGTCTTCCTTGACTCTGAATCTGTGCAGATATGAGGATTCCTGCTGACAGGGCTTGTCCCAGGCCTCAGCAACAAACAGGTGGCTTTTCTGCTGCTACATTTCTGACCCATGGGGAGAGAAGTCACTTTCCTGTCACAATTTTTGAAAGCACCACAGCAATAGACTTGAAACTCCACAGAGAGAAAAAAAAACAAAATGAGAGAATAACCACCTCTAGGCTAAGGGAGCCCAGCCGACTGAAAAATCTGTTAGATCAAACGGGGCATAAACACTGCAGCACAGAATTGGAAAAAACCCAATCTCTGACTCATACCTCTTCTTCTTCCTCATCTTCCTCTTCTAGCTCCTCATCAACTTCCATTTCAGCCTGATAGTCTTCTGTTTCTTCTTCAAAATCTTCCAAACTTAGCTCCCATCCAGCATACTGGAAAGGTTCTATTAAAAAAACAAAACCAAAAAACAAAAAACATTTGGGAAGACATTTTAATGATAAAGTGATATTAGCATATTATTACAGTAGTCAAGTATTAAGAAAATTAATTATATGACCAATCTCTTAGTTGAAATTCGTACGCAAATTGGCCTTCACAAATTCTGTACGCGACAACTAGCCAGTGTGGCCAGTGCTGTTTGTGCCCCACGGCTGTTCTTATTGGCCGGTGCCTGTGCTATGGGAGTTGTTAAATATTTTAAACCTCATCCCTGGATATATTGAATGTTTTACTTCATGGACCATCAAAAAAAGTTTTAAACTTTCACAGTACTTTTAATAATATTAGCTGCTCTTGACAGTAAATGTTAGGATTATAGCCCTTACTTTCCATAGTCTCAACTACTTTTTGAAGTAGTTGCTCTGGAGTTTTGCCAGCAATCTCCAAGTCGACAATCTGAGTGGAAAATTCAGTGATTATTTTTTCCAGAGATTTCCAGACAGAGCTGAAAGATTTAATCTTCTCTTTAATTGGTTCCATTTCGGGAACATCAGGATAAGCATCTTCTGGAAACTCAGGTAGTACGACTTTTGAGTAAAGGTTAAAAGAAAGAAAAAAGAGGCTTCAAACATGGTATCTTTAGCCATATTGCCAAAATAATTTATACTTTATAATATTTTAAAAACATTTGAAAGAAATAAACAGCGTTCTGAGCAATAATGTATATTTATAAATTCATATTTTAATTAGGCTTCATTCCTTGTATTGGATGTAGATCAATTATTACCTATTAATAAAATTATTTGGCTAATTAATGTGTATTTCATATAGCAACTTTAACTGTGAATAAAATAAAATTTGATGAAAAACAGTGTTATAAGCTGGCTAGATACATTTTTAATGTAATAAGCTAAATAAACATAACACATCAACTGGTGTACAACATAGAAAAAAATAAGTAGAAAGTTGGTACTAGGCCTAAAATAAGGGACTAGACTCTTTGTAGGAGAATATGAAAAGCACTTTTATGCACTAACTGCTTTTATTTTATAAGCTAACCTGTTTCAGATAATTTACTTTCTAGGTCCTCTTTGGATTCTTTTGGAATTTCTGTTCCAACTGTAGTTTCCCCAGTAGGCTCAGATACTTAAAAAAGAAATCCAATAATTAGTGTTTTAATTTTAAAACATTGTTCTTTTATGAAAGTTTTGGCACAAAGGAAATTTCAAAACACAGTTTAAATTGTATATACTATGTCTCATTGAAAATCCAATATGGCCTAAAAATACCTAATAGTATAAGGAAGACAATAAAGAATATTCTTAAATATGCTAAAGGACATTGACCAGAATAATAATTGACACACAGTACACACAATTCTGACTGATAAGAGTCGTGTCGACAGCATTGAGCTAGAACGGACCCTAAATGAAGTAGGATGTTGGCTTTAGAACATCCAAAGGAGGTTCCCCGAGAGAAACAGCAAGGAGATAAAAGGCAATAAAACTAAATCGTCCCCTAGATCTGTTACATTAGTAAATACTAATTGTGAGCAGTATGGATACTGGAACTCTGGGGATATGTTTGATGTATTATATTTAATGGATGTCAGCTTCTTTTATTTCTTTTGGTGGTGGGTGGGAGAATTGTCAGCTTAACTGTTTAGGTATCAAAGAAAATAATGAAGTTTCTGGGTGGGAGCACAACTAAATAGAGGTGTGGGACTCTTAAAAAAATTGGGTATTTCATTCTGCTAGCTCCTCTGTCTGGCACAGGGAATCTAATTTTACACTTATTGTCCCATAGAGCTAATACTAACCCTTGTAGTAAAAATGATCTATGTTGAACTTGAGATTTCTCAGTGTGAAAAGTCCCCTTATGCCTGGTTCTTTTCCCAGTTAACAGTAGGTTCCCAGCTCTTAATGGCTCCAGGCTGGCTGGCATCTAGCTCCAAGTATCTGACGGCCTTCAGTTTGTAGCGTTAGCTTCTAATCCAATACGAACTGTGCATGGAAACATTTATGAGCCTCACTCCCACCATGGTGGGGGGTCCTGTATCTTACCGCTTTAAGCCCACCCTGCAGTCCTGAGAGTGCCTTTCGTTGCCCACAGACTCCTCCTTGCCCTGCCCCAACCCACCAAACAGCATCTCTGCAGCAGGGCTGGCTTCTGTGTGTGACCTGTGCAGCTGTGCAGAGTCTATCACTCAGAAAGGCCTCATGCTTAGTTTAATGCTCTTTGGTTGTCAGTTTAAAATTTTTAATAATTTTGTCTTTGAACTGTGTTTTGTAAGCAAAATCCAAAGGGACTCCAATGGGGCAAAAGAGCATGCATATAAGCAGAGACATGCACACTGTGTGTTTGCCAGGTCTTGCCATCTCATTCTCATGCGAGTTCCTGATGCCCTATCATGAGTATAGAATTCCAGGGGACTCACGATGTGTGGGAGCAAGTGTGACTGAGTGGTGGCAGCAGGCAGGGGAAGATGCTGACAGCTCTGAAAGACCATGCTTTCCCTTTGAACTAGAACTTGCTTCAGAAGTAGAAAAAAGATTATAGCATTCAGAGAGACATGAATGACCAAGGAACCCCATCATATTCTTTCCTTAATCATTAGTAAGTTGAAGGAGTGTTGGTAGAATATGTGCATATTAAGAAGTGAAATAAAAAGCTGATTTTGTTTTGTGTACAAAACTGACTCAGTATTCTGGTGAGAATGAAATATATATGTATGTACGAGCTGCGAAATATGAATTGTGTAATTTCAGTGATTCTGCATATGAGTAAAACGCTCATTTTCATTTAAAAATGGCACTGTACAACATGAAGATGAATAATACAATTCATGCTAATAATTTAAATTTTTAGTTTTTCTTTATTTAGAATGACATTAAATAGCAAATAAAAAAGCAAACCATAACGAGTTGAGAGTGAGATTACGGAAGAAAAAGCTTTACATTTTAGTACCTTTAATGGCACTTTTCCCCTGCCTTTTTGAACAATGTGCCCCACAAATGACATAGCCGGCCCTGCTCCCAAGTGTTAGCATGGGCAGAGCAGAGCTGGCTTCCTACTGAACTTCAAACCAAGTGTTGGGCTAACTGGCTACTTTCTGGGAGCTCATCTTTCCATTCTTAGCCTGCTTCCATTTTATTAACATATAAACATATACACATGCATGCACACACAAACACACCAATAGACATGAATAGAATTAAGAACTTGGCTGCCAATCAAGTCTAACCTGATTCAGGTTCTGTTTCAGGGACCAAGGACACTTCAGATTCCTCAGGTAAGGACCCCCTAGTCTCCTCGGCTAACTCAACGGCCTCAGAACCTTCAGGAATATAAGTCTCATCACCTTCAATCTCCTCTTCGGCCTCAGGTTCAGTCTCTTCCACTTTTAGAAAAAATAAATTATCATTCAGATAAGGTCAGCAAATATTTAATTGGGTGCCAGGCACTCTGATAAGTGCTGAGACCCAAACAAAGAATAAGGAATGGTCTCTGCCCTCCTGGAGCAAGGGGTTTAATGAGGGAGAGAGATACATTATCTATATGTTATGCCTATTAATATGTAGTGGTAAGTAAAGGATTATAGTCATGTGCTTAAAGTGTTATGGGACCACTAGTCTACGGGTCCATTTAAAAGAGGAATTGTTCATGGCAGTCCCAAATATTATAAGAGTAAAAAAGTGGAAACAGCCCCAATGTCCGTTCAATAAGGCAATGGCTAGACCTGTACTGTCTGATATGCAGCCACTCGCTACGTGTGACTATTGAGCACTTGAAACATGGCTAGTCTAAACTGAGATGTGCTGTAAGCATAAAACATACAATGGAGTTCAGATTTAGTATAAAAATTTAAATGTAAAATATGTCAATAATTTTTGCATTGATTACATGTCAAAATAGTATTTTGAATATTAAATAAAATATAATTAATTTTATGTGTTTCTTTTTACTTTTTATGTGTCTACTAGAAAATTTATCATTATGTATGTGGCTTAGATTATATTTCTATTGGGCAGCACTAGGCTAGAGTCTATGTTTTCTTATAGCTAATAACTAATAGAGTATATTGTTCAATATGTTAAATGGAAATTTAAAAAGCATAACTCCAAGTTGCTGATGACCACTATAGAAATATATGCATGAAAGTCTTCCAGGAAGAAGACGGAGTAAATGGTGGTGTCAGAAAATCTATCTCCTCAAACATTTAATATATTTATGAAATTGATGGAAAAACAAGGTACTTTCAATGCAGAGAGGATATGAAAAAAATAAATGTTTTCTGGATTCTTGTGGGAATCCCAGTGAGTACCTTCCAAGAATCACATTCTAGTGGTATGTGATACCTCTGGCACCGAGTTTAATCTAAACCTGGGTGATTAAGCACCCAAGAAAAGCATCCTGAAGTGTCCCTGTATCTTGAGGTCTGACCAGGACTGCTGAACATAGGCCTTCTAAGTATGTGACCTGGAACGTGGTGAATCTTTTGTGTTACATGAAGAATTGTATGGTGATAACATGAGGAAGAAGCAGAATTTGCTGAATCCTATTAGGGTTTGGGATGAAGTTATGTGCTCTACACTAGAATCTCAAAATGTCTTTTCAACTAAATATCCCCTATAGTAAAAAAAAGTTACAAAATAAAAAAATTTAAAAAATCACATACCTCCAATATGCAGGTATTTAGTTGTTTATAAGTTGTATATTAGGTATTTTATAAAAAATACACATAAAAAGAATTCATATAATGATGCAGAAAAATGTAAAAAGTTCTAATACTTTTTTTCTAGAATGCTAATGTAATCTGAGTACTATATAAGTCAGGAACAAACTGAAAAGTGTTCTATGATCCTTGTACTACCTGTGATTTTGACTAAGTATATGTTGTATTATCTATTGCCTCATAATAAATTACCCCAAAACATAGTTGTTAAAACAACAATAATCACATATTATCCTTGAACTTTCTGGGATCAAGAATTTGGGAGTGGCTTATTGGTGTTTGTGGCTCTGGGTCTCTTATAAGTCACAGTGAAGATGTTAATCAGGACCACAGTACCTGAACGCTTGAGTGGGGCCAGAGAATCCACTTCCAAAGTGGTTACTTAAAATCAGAACAAAGGTCTCTGAGGAACAGAGATAAGCCTAAAGTCCTGACGCACAGGACTGTGTGCATAATAAAAAACGGTTGCTGTACAGTTTTGAGGTGGCTTTTTGCACAGCAATAGAAAACTGAAATAGATACTCTGCTCTCTTGAGCTATGGACCCCTTTGGCAGCCTGGTAAAACTTATGGACCCCTTCTTAGAATAATGCTTTCAATCTCAGAAAATAAAATATGCAAGAAGCCAATTATATTGAAATACAGTCATAAAGATATCGAAAATTTTTTTGAGCTGTAAGAAATTTGTGCATCTTTACTAATGCATTAAATAACAAGAACTAGCAGCTGATTTAATAAGTACCACAATTTGGGAATAGGGATATACATAAATAAGATATATAAAACTAACATCATATAAAATATCTTCATTTCTAGTAGTGACAAAGTCAAGTTACTGCTAATACTATTGTGGATTTTGCCTATATTAATTTCTAATGTAAGGACAAACTAAATTTGAGTTAAAGGTTAGTTAAAATAAAGTTGTAATTATTTTCTCATTCAAGTTCACAGACCCCTGAATTCTATCCATGGACCCCAGGTTAAGAACTCCAGTCTTAAAAGAAACTTTTAGAGTAAGTTCTTCTATAATGGAGATGGAAGTTTAAGTGCAAAGGCAAGGGGTATAGTAAGAGTTTGACTATTTTCTCAACTTCTGTAGGATCCTTCTATTAGAAGTAATCCTGATATGTGTCATCTATGACAGGGCAACTATTTTAAGACATGTGGCACATGTCGTCCTGCTGTGTACCGATCTTGGAGGGTGCATGAGTAAGTACCTGTGTCAGAGGTCTCTTTCTTATGAGTCCATTACTGCATATAATTTATTGTCCAAATTGGAACACTTTGAGAATGAAAGGGGGTCAAAGAAATACATCAGGACCATAACTATAAACCTGAACTCTTATGGGCAAATAGAGAAATACAAACACCCTGTCTATAATTCTCTGAAATACTGCAGTTGCTTGTAGTAACAATATAAAATTAAATGACAAATTATTAGTCATATCAATCTATGTTTTGCCTTTTCTTTTCTCATCCAGTAGTCTTTGATTTTCTTCTTCTAGTCTCAATTCCTCTTCTTTGGCTTTTCTGAAATAAAAAAGTCCAAAATGTAACTATCTTAGGAAATTCAGACATCTCACAAAATTATAGGATTTAAGGCTTATAGAGGTAAAAAACCAAAACAAAACAGTAAATTGTTCATAATACTCAGTATACTGTTTACTTTATAATGTAAATGTTTAATTTATTCATATTGAGGTCAGTTAATTTTCAGGATTTTTGTTTTGAAAGTGCAATCTGGAAGGTTGCACTTTGAAAACCTTTGACTACTAATTAGGAAACCTGTCAAAATTAATAAAGGATTGTCTAACCAAGTTGAAAAGGCATGGGAGAAATTGTACCATTTTGTATTTTGATTAAAAGAGAAATGTTGACAATATAATGTTAAGTGAAAAAAGTATAATATAAAACTATGTACAATACAGTTTCAATTTTGTATTTAAAATGATTAAAAGACTAGAAGAGAATTAGTCAAATTGTTAATAGTAATTATCTCTGGATGATGGCATTATGAGAGTTTTTAATTTTATTTAACTTTTTTTACTTTTAAAAAATTTTCTATATTGAATAAATAGAAAATTTGTACATTTATCTTTGTAATCAGAATAATCATTTTCTGATTTAACACAGTAATGATGAAATTTAAAGAGACTTGGAATACAGGAACTAAAATATCTGGAAGAAATCTATTTTTCTTTAGAGTTGAAGAACTAAATCTGCCTTAATGGTGAATACAGGTATAAGGAGTTAGTAAAATGATAGAGAAAGGCAATATTTATTAAAAATTAAAATGTGTGTTTTTGATGTAGAAATTCTATATCTAAGAATTTAGCCCTCAGGAATCAGCAAACTATTGCACAAAGGAATATGTACAAGAATGTTGCATTCTTTTAAAAATAATTTCATCTTTAAAATGTAATACCAAAAGCTGTACCAACTCTTCACCAACAGGGGACGAGTTAAGTAAAGCAGAACCCATTCATATCAACAGAACACCCTGGACAGGCTTCCTAAATAGGCTTGCCATTCTCTCATCTCAGCATTCTTTGTGTCCTCTTCCTCTTCTTTTGAAAATCTAGTTATATATAGTCTCTTCAAAAGACATTATCAGGGCCGGCCGAGTGGCGTGTTGGTTAAGAACTGGCTTGGGACACCAGAGGACCCCGGTTTGGATCCCACATATGAGGGCCAGTGACACTGCCCTCTACAGCTAAGATGCTGAACAACAGCTCAACCTGGAGCTGGGCTGCTGTGAGTCGCCGGTGACGGCGTAGGCTGCAGCCCCTGTGGCAGCGGGTTGCCATGGGCTGCTGTATGTAGCCAGCAGCCAGCGTGAGCGGCCAGCAGCCGCAGTGAGCAGCCATCCAGAAGCCGGCGACTGATCTGCCTCTCCCGAGAAGAGTGCAATGATGGTGCCAACTTGGGCCAGTGAAGCAACGTCCTCCACAGCTAGACTGAGGAACAAAATGACAGCAACTTGTCTGTTCCCCTTCCCCCAATTCCCCAATAAAAATCTTAAAAAAAAAAGAAGACATTATCAGACCACTTCTCCCAACAGGTGTGTTTCTTGTTAATAGGGAGTGTTCTCTCACTGTATTCTAAATCCTGTGATTCAGCCTAAGGTTCTGAGGTAATTTGAGTTCTCTTTGTGACCAGACCTCTGAGATGACTTAACATTGTTTCTGAACTCTTTCCCCATTTTGATCATGTATGAATTGGCAGTTCACACAGGACTCTTTAGTGAGATTCCCCTCATCCAAAATCTGGATAAGGTATGCTGCTGCTAAGAATCTAAATCTGGCAAGAACAAGGAAAACTTTTGCTACCAGTTATTAGATACTTCAATAAACCACTTGGATAGATGGGTCAAAGACCAATGGAGATGACAGAAATTATTCTGCATTTGCACATATGGAAACTGATGCTGGAAAAGCTGTAGGATTCAATGTGTCTTTAGATCTTTGGCCCAACATGGAATTCTTAATCCTGTCATCTCTTTTCTAAGCAAGTTGCAAGGTCTTTGAATGAGTCTCTAACCATTTTATTTTCTGGTTCCATTTCAGATTTCATTTTCTGCAGTAGTATATGAAAAACAATTTTGTTTTGAAATACTCATGTTGAATTTAAAAGGCAACATATAGACATGTAGAAAAGCCTGCTTCAATCTGGGCAAGTCTTTGGCATAAGGAGTTTATAAAGATACAAAAATTTAAAATCAAAAGAAGTAAAAAATTGATTATAGATATACCTCAGTAAATTCCATATGGTAAAAGTAAGGTGAAGGCAGAGAGTTGGGAGAAAGTAGAAAAGATCTCTTTTTCTTTAAAAAAAAATTATAAATGTAGAGTGATGTCAGAAACATGGCAGCATGAGGGTCTCCCTTCATATCTCCCCTTGAAGTTACAACAAGTTGAACAGCTATAATTCAACAAAGGGTTCCCTACATAACACACAAACATGTCTGAGAGATCCACACATTGAAACATCTGATGGTGGGTGAATCAGGGCAAACAGGAGAGAAGAAAAGGGAAAAGTGCGGAGATGGGGGCTGTTGGTGCGGCCTGGAGCTCACTGAGGTCCCAGGAGATAGGGGGATTGAGACTGCAGAAGCACTCTCTCTGGCCCCAGCAATCCTGCCTGAGTGATCAGCATATATTACGGCGAAAAATAAAATGCTCCAGCACTACCTACTAGAAAACAAAAGAAAGACATATTCATATTAACCTGTTGCAGAATTCACTCCTGTAGATGCCCAAGAAGAGAAATAATCCATCAATTACTGTGAATAACCAAGGTAACAAGGCAGCTCAAAAAGAAAATGAAAAATCTCCAGAAAATAAATTTAAAGACATGGAAATATATGACTTAAATGACAAAGAATTCAAGATTGCAGTTCTGGGAAAAACTCAAGGAGATGCAAGAGAACTCAGACAGGTAGTTTAATAAACTCAGAAATAAAATCAATGAACAAAATGAATACCAAAGAGATTGAAAATTTAAAAAAGAACCAAATAGAAATTCTGGAGCTTGAAAACTCAATAAAAGAAATAAAATAGAGAGCTTAGGAAATAAAGTTGACCAGATGGGGGAAAGACTTAGTGATATTGAAGACAGAAATCTGGAAATGATGCAGATGGAAGAAGAGAGAGACTTGAGAGTTAAAAGAAACAAAAGAATTCTACAAAAATTATCTGACTCCTTCAGAAAGAGCAATATAAGGATACTGGGTATACCAGAAGGAGAAGAGAGAGAGAGAGAGAGAGAGAGAGAGAGAGAGAGAGAGAGAGAGAGAAGGGTGCAGAGAGCCTATACAAACAAATAGTTGATGAGAACTTCCCAAACCTATGGAAAGAACTGGATCCTTGAATCTGAGAAGCAAACAGAACTCTTAGTTACCTCAATCCTAACAGCCCTCTCCAAGACACATCATATTGAAACTGTAAAAAATTAATGACAAAGAAAGAATTCTCAAGGCATTCAGGAAAAAGAAGATGGTAATCTACAAAAGAAAGCCCATTAGATTAACATCAGATTTTCAGCAGAAACTCTATAAGCCAGGAGGGAATGGAATCAAATATTCAAACTATTTGAATATAATTTGAGAGAGAAATTATCAGCCAAGAATAATATTTACAGCAAAGTTATCCTTCAGATATGAAGGAGGGGTAGAGACCTTTTCAGATATAGAGAAGCTGAGGGAATTTTCCACCACAAGGCTTGCATTACAATAAATGCTGAAGGAAGTTATTCTTCCTGAAACAAAAAGACAAAAGGATACAAAAATATGAATTAAATTACTAACAGAAAGGCAGCAGCAGGAAATGGCAACCCCTACATGGACGGAATAGGGCACTATAACTTAAACATAACATAAAGGGTAAAGGAGATTAAAAAAAAAAAAAGAGAGAGCGAGAAAAAAACAATTTGCTATTGCAACGTAGAAATCAACTTACAGCAAAAATAAGGATAATTAGTGACAACAAAAACATAAAAGGGGTGGGGTTAAAGATCTGAATTGGCAAAGGAGAATGGAGATAAGATGCATGCTGAAGAAATGGACTACTGTATATGTGAAACATTTTTTTACATAAATTAATGGTAACCACTCAAAAGTAAATCTAGAACTGAGACACATAACATAAAAAAGAGAAAACAGAGGTAAAAAATCATAGAATACTACCAAAGTAAAATAACAAAAACACAAAGGCAAAGAAACAATGCAGACAATGAGCTACCAGAAAACAAAAGATAAAATGGCTATTGGAAATCCTCATATATCAACAATCACCCTAAATGTAAATAGACTGAATTCACAAATAACAAGGTACAGATTAGCAGATTCAATTATAAAACAAAACACAGCCATATGCTTCCTTCAAGAGACAAATATAGACTCCAAGTGAAAGGGTGGAAAAAGATACTCCAAGCAAAAGGCATCCAGAGAAAAGCAGGTATAGTCATATTTATATATGACAAAACAGACTTCAGGGTGAAAAAGGTAACAAGAGACAAAGATGAACATTTCATAATGATAAAGGGGACAACACAACAAGAAGACATAACACTTATCAATATATATGCTCCCAATCAGGGAGCACCAAAGTATACGAGGTCAGATAATTAAGTTTGCAAACTTGTTGCAATGGTGTTGCTATCCTTTTTTGATATCAGAGGGATTATTCATTATGAATTTGTACCAATTGGACAAACAGTTAACCAAGTTTACTATTTGGAAGTGCTGAAAAGGCTGCATGAAAAAGTTAGACAACCTGAACTTTCTGCCAACAATTCATGGCTCTTGCATCACAACAATGCACCAGCTCACACGGCACTGTCTTGTGAGGGAGTTTTTAGCCAGTAAACAAATAACTGTATTGGAACACCCTCCCTGCTGACATGATCTGGCCCCCAATGACTTCTTTCTTTACCTGAAGATAAAGTAAATATTGGAAGAAAGACATTTTGATGACATTCAGGACATCAAGGGTACTATGATGACAACTCTGATGACCATTCCAGAAACAGTTCCAAAATTGCTTTGAAGGCTGGACTAGGCCCTGGCATCAGTGCATAGCTTCCCAAGAGGAGTACTTCGAAGGTGACCATAGTGATATTCATCAATGAGGTACGTAGAACTTTTTCTAGGATGAGCTCATGAACTTAATTGTCACACCTCATATACAAGGGCAGTTAATTTTAACAAAGAAGCCAAAAACATACAATGGAGAAAAGAAAGCCACTTCAATAAATGCTTCTGGGAAAATCGGACAGCCATGTGCAAAAGAATGAAACTGGACTGCTATCTGTCACCATATACCCAAATTAACTCAAAATGGTTCAAAGACCTAAACATTAGACCTGAAACAATAAATTGCATAGAAAAAAAGCATAGGTACTAAGCATGTAGACCTTGGGTTCAGAGAGGATTTTATGAAATTGACTTCAAAGCCAAGAGAAGTAAAAGCAAAAATAAATGAATGGGATTATACCAAACTAAAGAGCTTTTGCACAGCAAAAGTAACCATCAATAAAACAAATGGCAAACAACAGAATGGGAGAAGATATTTGCAAGCAACACCTACAATAAGGGGCTAATATCCCAAATATACAAAGAACTCATATAACTCAACAACAAAAAAACCCAAACAATCCAATTAAAAAATGGACAGAAAACCTGAACAGAACTTCCCCCAAGAAGACATACAAAAGGCCAACAGATATATGAAAAAATGATCAACTTCATTAACTATTAGGGTAATGCAAATCAAAGCCACAATAAGATACTACCTCACACCTGTTAGAATGGCTATTATCAGCAAGACAAGAAATAACAAGTGTTGGAGAGGTTGTGGAGAAAAAGGAACCCTCATACACTGCTGGTGGAAATGTAAATTGGTATAGCTACTATGGAAAACAGTATGGAGGTTCCTCAAAAAATTAAGAATAGAATTACCATATGACCCAGCAATCTCTCTTCTGGATATCTACCCCAAAAAAGTCTGAAAACATCCGTAAAGATATATGTACCCTTATGTTCACTGCAGCACTATTCACATGGTGGCCAAGACATGGAAACAATCATTGTCCTTCAATACATGATTAGATAAAGAAGGTGTAGTACACATGCACAATGGAATATTATTCGGCCATAAGATAAGATGAAATATTGCCATTTGTGACAACATGGATGGTTCTTGAGATTATCATACTAAATGAAATAAGTCAGAAAGAAAAAGTCGAGAACCATATGACTCCATTCAAATCTGGGATATAAAACTGAAAGCAACAAATGAACAATACAAACAAATAAACAAAAAATCATAGACACAGACAACAGTTGAGTTGTTACCAGAGTAAGGGGGTGGTGAGGTGTGATAGAAGAGGGTAAAGAGGGTCAAGTATATGGTGATAGAAGGAGAACTGACTCTGGGTGGTGAACACAACATGCAATATATAGATGATGTATTACAGAAATGTACACTTGAAATCTATATAATTCTACTAACCAATGTAACCCCAATAAATTTAATAAAAATTTAAAAAATTATAGATGTATTTATGTTTTATACATTTAAAATGTAGCAGACCTTCAGTCTAGAAATCACATGAACTTTGTTTTGTTTTAGTCTTATGTCATTATCTTCATCTGTTCTCAAATATTTGACTATTTCTCATACACTGAAAAAAATTAGGCAATCCCTTAAAAATCCTAGCAGATTTAGCTCTATTTGAAAGAAAACTTTTCAAAGTTAAAAATAAATGCAATTAGTTTGCAAGTATTACCTGAATTAATAATACTTTTTAGTCAATATGTCAAACAATTTCATTAATTAATCTAACTAAACTATATTTTGTATATTTTTGTGTTAAGTCCCAAAAGAAATGGCTAACTTAGAGGAATAATGAACACTGAAAAAAAATTCTCTGATACGCATTTACTAGTTACCTGCCCCCTACCCCCCAATAACCCAGATACTGGCTTCATAATTTCCAGAGTTTAAAGCGCTCTCCTAAATCCCAGCTCAAATCGTTAATATCTGAAGAGGAAAATGAAATAGTATTTGAGAAAGCTCCTACAGTTACCCACCATTAATTGTAGCCGGTTTAGTGAATTAACATAAAAAATTTAGTTCTTAAATGTCTCAGCCTTTGTCACTTTGAGAAGTAGGAATCTCAGTGGACAAATTAAAATTTAAAGTACCTAACAGCGTGTTTCAGCAAGGAAGAACAATTAGCAAATTAAGCCACTGTTTCTTATTATGCTTAATTTCTCATCCTGAAGAACTTGAGATTTTATTAATGTTTAGTCTTGACCCCAGTCATGAAAAAATAGATATGTGTTCACATTTTTAAACTTCTTCATTGTACCCAAATTGGAGAATAAAGTCTTGATGTTAAGCCTGTGAATATAGTAAATAGTCTATTTCTTTCCTTATGTAGGACTTAGTCAAGCTTTGCATTTTAGTCCTATCACATAGGTGTATTTTCACTTACTTTTTATCATATTATTTGTTCAACTTGTGGAATTTAATTAGCAAAATTAAGTTACAAATATGGTGAAAGGAAAAAAAATGTTATCTGTGCTCACTTTTTTACAGTGTCTCTTGAGAGTAGATGTTTGATTTAGAATGAGTTTGATTTGGGACTGTGAAAACATCCACAACTCTATAAGTTGGACATTCTGGAATTATTTGTGAAATTACTGTTTTTCTTAGAATTAATTAGAATTGGATCAGTTAGATTACCACTTTGATATTAAAGCAATTTCATAAACAGAAATTGTAAGTAGATATTTAACAGCTTCATAAAAGATGTATAACCTGTTTTATTATGCCAGGCAGATGTTACCTTGCTGCTTCTTCCTCTGTTTTTCTCTCTCGTAGTTCATCTAATAATCTTTCTAATATCTTAGAGTCAATTTCAGGTTTATTCTCCAAATAGAGCCTATTAAGTAAATACTTTCCTGAAATATAAAGAGAATAATATCAATTTTGAAGCTCTATAAAATATAGTGAGATATACTTTGGAGATTATTAATAAAAAATTAATTCTACCTATATCTAAATATTTTCTTTTAAGCATTTATCTAAATAGAGACCAGTTTCTTTAAAATATTAAAAGACTACCTTAAATCTTTTTAAAAAGGTATGTATTAGCATGATATAAATAATTAAAACATGAAGAAAGGCAGTATATTATGTTCCCCCCTGGAAACTCTTTTCAAATACATTTCCCTAAGAGGCAAAATGACAGAATATTCTTAGCCCCCTTGTCAAAGATTAGTTGACCATATAGGTGTGGATTTACTTCTGGGCTCTCTATTGTGTTCCATTGGTCTATGTGTCTGTTTTTATGTCAGTACCATATTGTTTTGATTATTTTAGCTTTGTCCAAAGTGACAGAATAATTAAAATTTAGTTCTGCTGTCTTTAAGTACTTAATATTTTCCATTTGAGGTGAAGAAGGGCTAAGATATAGTCTTCGCCCTCAGCTTTATATGTATTTCATTTAGAAGTGCTGACTGGGGGTGGTGGCGGTGTTAATTTTCAGCTCCAAAGAATAATCATAAGGGCCTGATGGAACATTCAGGAACCCAGCACACTGTGCTGACCACCTACTCGGTGGATGGGTGCCTTATTTTGTGTATCTCTAGGTCATGACAGGATTGCTGGGGTGGTATTTGTACCTAGGGAGGGTGAAGGTTTTTCCATTTTCTATTTTAACTAAAAATATTATCAGCAATAAAAACTTCACTTTCAAATTTACATGATAAATATTTACCAACCATTGTTTTCTGTATTTGATAAGCAGATTACTAAATCTGGTGTAATTCCTTTCTCCACTAAGGCTGCCCACAGCTCTTTTATAACAGGGCAGTTGTCCAGTATCCATCCTCCATATTTTGGGGCACCAGAAAACCTGTTCTTGTTTCCTTCAACTACCTGTGAAAAATGACACACTGATATTACCATCATAGCTAGACAAGTCAAGGGTGCTGGCTTGATAAAACATTTCTGTGAACCTTAACCAACTATCTTTTGAGTCCTTCTGACTTTCGGAAGGAAAAAAAGAGAGCCTCTTAATTTCAAAAGAGAAACTTAAAGCAAGAAAGCTGTAAGATTAAAAAATTAGGAATGGGAAGCAAAACCCTTTATTAAATAAATATAAGAAAAAGCTGTAAGTTTTAAAAATTAAGAATGGGAAGCAAAAGCCTTTAGTAAATAAACATAACAACACATTTTTTTGCTATATATTATTCAGGATTACAGAATTCAGACCTAATTCAGAAGGTCTGGGGTGAGGCCCTAGAGCCTGCATTTCTAACATGCTCCCAGGTGATAATGGTCTATGGACCACTCTTTGAGTAGCAAGGTCCTAGTCCAACTTGCCTTTTTTAGTGACAACTTCCCTTTTGCTTTTCACTTGCCTTTTGTTTTTCATCCCTCAGTGAGAGAGCTGAGAGGTACTGAGATGGTTACTAATAGCCATGGAGGGAATTAGGTCAAAACAAATCTTTCAGGTGCTTAATGAGTTCTGCTAAACTCTCCCCAACCAACAACCAAACAGCAATAGCTTCAATACAAGTATAGATATTATTAACAGTAATGTGGATCTGTGAATACAACAATTCTGAGGGTTTTAAACAAGTTCGTGTGCCATCAGGTAATCGCAGAATGTTAGAAGTAAGTCAAAGGGGAAGATATGTCAAGAGGGTTCATCTAACCCTCTGGCCTATGCAGAATTTAAGATTATCTGCTTTATGAATTTACATCTGAATGAAGAGTCTTTTGAAAAAAATGAAATTTAAACACTTTGAAATGTGTACCATAAGAGAATTAAGGAGTAAAAAAAGAAAGTTATAGAGAAGAAATATAAGTGAAATAAGTCAGAGAAAGACAAATACTGTATGATTTCACTCATACTTGGAATTTAGGAAAACTGAATTCATAGAAACAGATAAGAGATTGGTGGTTGCGAGAGCTGGGGGAAATAAATAAAGGGGGTCAATAAGTCAACAAACTTCCAGTTATAAGATAAATAAGTCCTGGGGATGTAATGTACAACACAGTGACTATAGTTAATAATGTTACACTGTATATTTGAAAAATACTGAGAGAGTAATCTTAAAAGTTCTTATTACACACAGACAAAAAAATAACTATGTGAGGTGATGAACGTTAACTAAACTTATTGTGGTCATCATTTTGCATATATCAAATCATTATGTTGTACACCTTTACTACAATGTTATATGTCAATTATATCTTAGTAAAACGGGAAAAAATATAAATGGTTAATAAAAATTTTACTGTCCAAGTTTCAAAGATATGAAAATTAAAACAATATCAACATATAATTTATAGTTTCCCCATCTCAGTTAATTTTTTTTGAAAAAAATTTAATGACATCATAGTATTTTATCAAATGAATAAATATTAATTTATTCAATCATCCTCTTACTGTTAAACATTTATATAATTTATAATTTTATTATAACATTGTGAGCATGTGATGAACATCTGTATATAAATCTTTATCCAAATATATATTTCTTTAGGTTAGATTCCTAGAAGGATTTTCAGGTCAAGGAGAATAAAGAAATAAACATTTTATAAGCTTTCAATACACATTGCCACATTGCTTCCAAAATGTCTGTATCGATTTTCACTATTTGACTATGTAATTACAGCCTCACTAGTATAAATTGTTATGTTTAAAAAAATCTTTGCCAATTTTAATTTTCATATTTTTATTGACATTTGAATATAAGAATTCTCAATTAAACATTTATATTTCTTCTTTGATGAAATAATCTGTTTACATCTTTTGCTTGCTTTTATATTGGGATATTAGATTTCCCTTGATTTGTAAGAAATCTTTATATTAAAGAATTAAGTTCATTTTATTATAAATTCTTTCCCCAGTTTGACCTTTGCCTTAGAAGTTTGATTTTCATAATTTTTTTATAGAGAATCATTATTAAGTATCCTCTCTGTTGAGATTTTGCTTTAAGAGTTCTTCCACTGCATTTGTGCCCAGAGTACTTGACCATCCTAAGATCATTTTAACATTACTGTACTTTCTTCTAGTTAAAAAAATGCCATTTTTACATTTAACTAATTTATATGAGGTTTATTTTTATTTTGATATAAGGTGAGAATCTAAATTGGTTTTCCCCAATAGTTAATTTTATGAACAGTATTAAATAATTCTTACTTTCTTTTTTGGATTGTGATGTTAACTTTAGCATATATTCAATTTATTATCTATATTGAGGTCTGTTTCTGTACCTTCTCTGTGGTTCTATTGATTCTTGTATACTATTGTAGCATTTCAACACATTTTACCAGCTGGTAGAGTAAGTCTCTTTCTATTATATTTGCCAAACTGTTCTTATCTAGTCTCAACTATTGGTTCTTCCCAATCCATGGTAAGAGTTATACTGTCAGTTTCCAAAATATACTGAGATTTTTATTAGAATTGCATCTATAAATTAATTTGAGAAAGACATCAAACAATTTTGTCTTTATATGTAAAAAATTAGTAACTAACTAGTTGCTTTTTGAAAATAGGTTTCCTACTGATAGAGTAGAAACAGATGACAGGTAAAACAGTCTCCTGCACAGATCTTTGTTCTCTTGAGAAAGACAACCTGATATGAGCATTGATGTCAAAAGCTCATGTGAGTTAAACTCCCCTACAATCTCACAGTTACAGTTTACCATCTAATTACATTATATATATTTCTTTATCAGAAGTATTTTACTAGTACTCCCTGTAGATTTGTATCCTCCAGAATAAACTCTGAAGGGAATCGAGAAATTTTTCAGTGAAGGGCAAGGATGGGACTTCCACAGTGCCACAGACGTGCCTCCCTTAAGTGTCTCCCCCTCTGCGATGCTTTGTTTCACCTCCCAGGCAGAGCTGACAGCCCTTACCTTTGTGAAATTCCTATACCTTGTACTATTCTATTTACCACTAAGCACATAACTTTAATTAATTATTGGATTATCCGTCAGCCTTCCACAACCTGACGGATAACTTCTTAAAGGGAAGAGCTGTGTTTGATTCATCTTCAGATCACTAGGCTCTAGCACAGTACAGGGCAAATAGTAGGTGCTCAGAGTGATGATAGAACAACCTGATGAGATGCAGAGGAAGCTGAAAGATCTCTATTGGAAGCTCAGAGGGGAATAGTGACTCACCTTGGGTATAGCCTGGGGTTCGTGGAGTCAACAACCCAGTGTGTTACAGAGTAGCTCTATACTCTCAGAATAGTTTTTTTCTTCTCACATAATAATTTTAAATTGCATCATTTTCAAATTACAGAGAAATACAGAAGTTCATTGGGAGTCCAAAACTGATTTGTTCTCTTTGACTTTGCTCTGAATGTTTACCAAGGTCTCTGTGCAAAACTGACCCCTACGGACATCCTATTCTTTGTAAACAAAAGATAAGCTTTCTGATTTGCCATCGGTAGGACATAGTATGTGAGGCTTTATTTTCCCCTCAGATTGGAAAGTAACTCATGTGTCCATCCATCTCCACTATGAATACACATACAGAATGGTTAGAAGAAATTATCTGTGGCTGGAGCAACATTTATCTTGGTTTACAACTAATTAGTTCTTACAGAAATACCTAACTTTGGTATTGGCTTCATTTGCACCATCTTTTAACCAAGTGAACTGAATTAAAGACAATAAAAGTTAATGAAGAATTAATTTCAAAGCTATGAAATTATATTGCATAACTGTTGATAAGTGAAAATTTACCAAAGCGCTAAGCAATTGTTCTCTGGGGTACATTACACATAACTATGTTGACTATGAAATGTACATGCATTTGAAAGCCACAAATTTCAGTACTGTCAAGTCAGACTCTAAGTTAATTACACACACACACACACACACACACACACACACACACACAGAAGGTTAACATTTTCTCAGTTACTGTTAAATTAATTATAAAAACGAACAGCCTGGATTTCTTACCTCTTTTAGGACTTCCTCTAATATTTCAGCATGTTTTTCATATGGGTGTTCAAAGTTCATATCCTTTGTCATTTTCACAGTCTCTTTTATTATGGAAAGAACCTCTGGATGATCTGCAGTTACCTCTTCTATTGAGTCTTCTATTGAGTTTAAAGTAAAATAAGTTAATTAACTAATGCCATTAATAATTTTAGTGGACAATTCTATTTGCAATAGAACATGATTGTTAATGCCTGACTATCTTTGTGTTACTGTAGCACATGCTAGAAGAAAGGGGAAACAGATGGGAAGAAATGTCAGGTCAGGGATCACAAAATAGCAGACAGAGCAGTGGCTTAAAGCCCGTGTATCAGAATGAAAGTGAATGAGGCAAGAAGTCATGTCAGGCAGCTGTCAAAACCCAGGAAGCCAGGGAGAAGAGGCAGGGACCAAAGGATTCCAGGAGTCAAGCTAAAACATAAGCATCTAGGGAATGAATCAGAAAATGAGATGACTACTTCCAATTACAAGCATGAGACTACATGGGACAGTAAGAGGACAGGAGGTAGGCAAGCTGGAGGAAACAGAAGAAAGGGTGACACAGGCTGGTTTCTCAAGTGGTACACTTGATTCTTGCCCTTACTGCATGCTGAAGTTACAAGGCTCAGTTGGCTCACAGGCTGCATGATGATGTAAATGAGACAAGAGATTGGCAGCTCTACTTATTCTGCTCTTTCTGTCTTTCCTATTGTGCTTCCTGAGGTGCTGCCCAAAGGCTTCATCCATCAGGGTCTCCTGCCAGAGCCCAGTTGATCGCAGCCCAGAAAACCCACAAAGGGCCTTAAAAGAGCAGCTTCCTGCTGCTCTCCCTGCCATAAAACAAGAAGTCTGTTCTCAGTGATGGAGAGAGCCAGCAGTTCCTGGACAACCAGAGTGGAAGAGGCAAGAAGTCATGGTCTTCTTGTAGCCTTGGGAAGAGGGGCATGGTGAGGCAGAAATAGCCAGGCAAAGATTCTAGTTGTGCTAGAAGCTGCTAGTTTTCCACCCAATATCCATTCTCCTTTTCCTTAGTAACAGAACCCTGATTTTGTTGGGGTCAGCATTGTGCCCAGCTGAAAAAAAAAACCCACTACATTTTCCAACTTCCATTATAGCTTGGATGGCCCATGGATAAGATGCCATCAGAATTTTTAGGGGGGCAAGTCTTCCTGTTATCTCTTTAAAGAGGAATAACTCAGCTGGGGGAAGTGCCAGTTTTGTGTCTTGCCTTTTCTCCCTTCCTGTTAGGCACACTGATATGATGGCTGGAGCACCAGCAGCCATATTGTAAATTGTTATGGTGGCCACATGCCAGGGATGTCAGAACAGAAAGATAGATCTCCTGCCTTCCCAATATTCTTTTTCACAAAGACAATGTATCATATATTCCTCTTTTCTGTGTTCATGCATGTCCAACTGTTTACAACAGAGTAGCCTTTATGGTAGAGTAAGTTGGGTATTAATGCTTTTTAAAAAAAAATCACATTTCTCCTTCAAAATCCTCAAGGCACTATTTATAATTTTTAGATACACAGTCTAAGAGAACCAAATTACTCAAATACTAATTTACCTTCTTTTGAAGCCAACTTTAGCTCTTGACTAATGTCTTGAGATCGTCTTTTAATCATAGACGTTTCACTGGTTTCATTTTCATCTGTGAATAAACATTGTTAGCATCTAAAGAACAGCATTAAATTGTAGGTGATTCCCAAAGAAGATTATGGTATGGGTCCAGGGACCCAGGACTCATGCTCTTAAATTTTTTTAACATTAAAATAATAACCATAATAATCAAATAGGTACATATATCTATCAGCAGTAGAAAATAAAGATAATGATTTAACCTATAACAAAACCAAGAATAATTTCAGTTTCATATAATGCCAGTGGGTCTAAATTAAAAAACAACAACAACAAAAACACCCCTCAGACTTTCCCTTCCCAAGGTAACTAACAGCGTCCTAGCTCCCAGAAGTAAAGGCTGTGCTTATCTCAGATACACAAGGCAGGGAGGGTGCCCTTTCACCAGGGAACACTGGCAGTGCTGGCATCCCTCCAGCAGTAGGTAGAGGCACTGACGCCTGCTTCTACCTCAGGACTGTCTCCCCCAAATAGGGGACAGACAGTATGAGGGAGGGGTATTTTCACGTACTGGTGCTGGCAACTCTGCAGTAGCAGAGATGGGGCTCCCAGATGTCACTTGGCCAAAAATTTAATATTCCAGGTCCTTCTGCGAAGTGTGTGTATGTGTGTGTGTGGCGCATGGGTGGGGGGGTGTGTATGCTGGGGGAAGAAGAGTGCCGTATGTAAGTTTCTGACAATGCCCAGTTCAAGTCCCATTAAGCTTGAAATAAACACCAGGGAAGCACACATCTGTCTGAATCAGGAGGAGGAAGCAAACAAAAAATATCAGCTCTACATTATATAACACAAGAAATTATAGATGCACTTAAAAAGTAAATACAAAAAGGCTGGATCAATTAAAAAAAAAGAATATATGGGCCGGCCGAGTGGCGCGATGGTTAAGAACTGGCTTGGGACGCCAGAGGGCCCCGGTTCGGATCCCACATATGAGGGCCAGTGACACTGCCCTCCACAGCTAAGATGCTGAAAAACAGCTCAACCTGGAGATGGGCTGCCGTGAGTCGCCGGCGACGGCGTAGGCTGCAGCCCCTGTGGCAGTGGGTTGCCATGGGCTACTGTGTGTAGCCAGCAGCCAGCATGAGAGGCCAGCAGCCGCAGTGAGCAGCCGTCCAGAAGCCGGCGACTGATCTGCCTCGCCCGGGAAGAGTGCAATGATGGTGCCAACTTGGGCCAGTGAAGCAACGTCCTCCACAACTAGACTGAAGAACAAAACGACAGCAACTTGTCTGTTCCCCTTCCCCCAATTCCCCAGCACTGTTCCCATCCCCCCAATTCCCCAATAAAAACAAAAATCTAAAAAAAAAAAGGATATAAATATATATTAAGTCTCTGGTTGAGAGGAAGACTTTTTAAGCCTGAAAGTAAATGAAAGGAATCAACAAAAGGAAAGTAATGATTTGACCACGAAAATATAAAAACAATCCTCTACTTCAAAAACAGCAAGATGATTTAAAGGAGAAACTATCCAATTTGGAAAAAGAATATGAAAAATAAGTGATTAATATAGAAAGCTTATATAGGAACCATATAACTGATACAACAATTTAGAAAAATGGGTAAAAAAAAGTCACCTCAGAAAAGAAGAAACATAAATGGTTAACAAATATTAAAATATTAAACCTGAGAAACAGTTAAAAAAATTAAAAAATAATATTTAAAAAGAGACAATACCAAGGAAACAATGACATGTACTTTGTATTTTACTGAGTGGAACATGCTCTGGAACAACTTTTATGCAAAGCAGCTTGACTGTCTATAGCTTCTTACTCATTAAACCACTGACTCCACTTACGTCAACATGCAGACAAAACTTAACGTGAAAAATTAATTGAAGCATTATTTTTAGTAGCAAACAAATCTGAAAAATTTTCCGACGTAAAGAACTAGTTAAAACTGTTACCTATAAATAGGGAAATTGTATAGTAATTGAAAATGATGGAAATAGAGCTGACTCTGGCTTGTGAGCTCACAATGCAATATATAGATGATGTATTATAGAATTGTACACTTGAAATGCATATAATTTTACTAACCAATGTCACCCCAATAAATTTAATTGAAAAAAAAGAAAATGAGCGTTAAAAAATTTCCTAATAATTTAATTAAACATTACATTATAAATAAAAAAAATAAAAATAGTTTACATTTTTTAATGTAAACATACTAGGTTTCAATTAGGTTATACATATGCAAACATATTTAAACATATGTTAATATTTAAACATATTAGCTTTCAATTACGTTAAAATATGAGTGGAAAAATTTTATAAGGGTAAATAGCACTAAATGATAACATTTCACAGCTAAAACTCAGGGTTTATGATGGTTGGATTCCAACACATTAAATGAAGTAGCAAGCTTATAAGAAAAAATTTATTGTTATAATGATTGCATCATGTTTAGAAACATTAAAAAATTTGGGGTGGTTCTAATCATATTAAGCTCCTCAGTTTCTACATTTTCTTCTTCATTCTAGTAAATTTATTGTTTTTTCTACAGGTGCTCAGTTTAAATCTGTAAGAGAGAAGCTAACTTTTTCTCCTGTACTTTCCAATTTGGGGGATAGTTTAAGCTTCAATATAAACATAATAAAATATGAAATAAATGGAAATAAGATCCATCTGCATGGCATTAACAGTTCATTTTCTTACCATCTTTACCAATTTTAGCAGCTTGATGGATAACTGATTTTGTTTTGGCTTCTTCATTGTCCTCTAAAAGGTTTTCTCTTTGGGATTCGAGAGTAAATGCTGCAGTGAAAGAACAATATGTTTTATCAGCAGTGAAAGAATAATATATTAGGAAAGATTTGGCCAATAACAACAGCAATATATTTCTTTACCATCTTCATCAAATGAAGAGGGCACCTCTTCTAAGTTTTTATCCCTTGGGAATTTTTCATACTCCGCCATTTCAAATTCTGTCTCGAATTCTCTTAAAGCTGACTTGTCTGAAAGATAGTAATTGGTTGTGTTAGCAAAAGGTAGTTGGGGTAAGGAAACAGGTATAGTGATTAAATCCTCTGCTTTAAAGTCAGGCAGATTTGGATGAAAGTTCTGACTCATTCAGCGTGCCTTTGGTAAATCATTTGATCTCCTTGTCTCAGTTTCTACTGCGCAAAATGAGGATCATCAAACCAAAAGCATTGTTGCAAGGATTAAATACAATAATGGATGTTAACACTTAACTTAGAAAATGCTTGGCACACAGGAAGCCTGCACCATGTTAGCTGCCATCCTCTGTATTATTATATAATCTTCTACGTTAAAAAAAACCTCAATATTCTCCACTGATGAACTTTTCTTAAAAATATATTGAAGTAAAATTCACTAGCAAAAATGTTCCAATTTTTTTAAATGTTAAGAAAGGTTAACCCTATTGTCAGATTTAGAGTAATTAGTGAATTTGAAAAAGAAAGAGGCTTTAAGTTTACAGCATATGAGAGATAGCATCTATTTCTATATCCTGGTGGGAGAAGGCAATTTGTGGAATCCTGTAAAATCTATGATTTTATGTCATAATGTGATATGAAAGGAATCACTACAGACTCCAAGAAACATTACAGATCACTGTTCTTCCTCCAGGAGCCAGGCAGGCTACCTTCCTCTTTGACATAGGTTTCTGTTAAATGTCTTCCCTTCAGAGAGGTTTTCCGTGGTCATTCTAACATTCTAGCACCCCTACCGCAATCCCTGCCATCTCCATTCACGTGTATATTTTTTCTAATATCTGTTTACTTGTGTTGTTTTGCCCTTGTATCCTCCATTGAAATGTAACCACCACAAGGACAGGAACTTCCTGTGTCTTATTCACCTCTGTAGCCCAGTGCCTAGAGTCATGTCTAACACAAAGGAGGTACTCGAGTATATTGTTGAATGAATTAACAAATTATTTCATCCAGCCTTAAATAGGGAATAACAAGCCATTTTAGTAGTCTGGGTCAATATTCTCAAGCTTTAGTTTGTAAATTGTCTATGAGTATTTTTTTAAATTTTGATTTTTTCATTTTGAAGATAATACACTAAAAATATACATTAATTCTGGATCATCTGGATGATAATTTGGATGGCATACAATTTCAATGCTGCTCTTTTTGTTTTTGTTTTTTTGTCATCCCTTGGGCACCATGTTGAACTCTTTTTTTTATAGGCTAATGAGAAAAAAGAGTGGCAGATTTATTAGGCAATAAGGTATTCTTGCCTAGCAAAAGCTCAACATTGCCATATAAGAAGAGATCATTTTCTTGCTATTTAAATAGTTGCAAGCATAGAAAATGATGGGAAGTTTCCCAATTTATACAAAAAGCCAGTGAAACTCTGAGAGCAAAATCTGACAAATAGAGCACACAAAAAAGAAAATGTTATATATAATTACACTTATAAATATAGAAAAAAATCCTAGATTAAAAAACAAAAGAAAAAAATAAGAATAATACACTATGACTGAGTAAGGTTTATTTAAGAACTACAAGAATGGTTTAATGTTGGAAAATACATTAGTATAATTGATCAAATCAATTATTCAGAAGATGAAAAACTTTATGATCATCTTGATAGATGCCAAGAAGGCATTTGATAATGTTCAACATCCATTCTAGATAAAAATACTTAATAACCTCATGGAGAAACATTGGAAAGAATCCATTTAAAGAGACCCACTATCACTGCCACTATTTACAACATTTTAGAACTATTAGCACATAATTAGTCAAGAAAGGAAGTAAGCATAAATAATGGGAAAAGAGGAGTTGAAACTATAATTCTTTTTCAAATGATATGATTGGCTATCTGCAAAAGTCAAAGAGACTCAACTAAAAATCTATCAGAACTAGAAAGTAAGTTTAATAATGTGGACAGTTATAAACAAATGTATAAATATTTAACAGCTTTCTAATATGTTGGTAATAACTACTTAAAACATAATAGAAAAATGATTCCATTTAATATTGGGTTGTCGAAAAAGTCATGATGTATTTTTTTTTTATTTTTAAAGATTTTTTATTGGGGAATTGGGGGGATGGGAACAGCGCTGGGGAATTAGGGGAAGGGGAACAGACAAGTTGCTGTTGTTTTGTTCTTCAGTCTAGTTGTGGAGGA